GAGTAAATTAATTTGCACATTTGTTACTTAAACTATCTTTATTTCCACTTGACAATATGCTACGTTACTTTGTGTTGCTTGGTGTCACAAATTCATCCATTTATTGTGATTCCATGAATTTCCAAGCTTTGAAAATGTGTGACATTATACATATTCCATTTCAATGTTGTTACAGGATGACACTTCATCTGAAGAAATGGACTGAACAAGGACACCTAATTAGCTTCATACACAAATCACTGGGTACTGATGACTGAGGGCGGAAGTAAAGATGCAGCTGAAGTCCAAGTAAGGGATTATGGGTAGGCCTGTACAGCCCTTGCATTAGGTTAGAAAATTTGTGAGTCCCAAGGATGCAATTTTTTTTAAAAAGTGTGTCCTTTGAAAAAAAAGTGTGTCCCCTATTTCTAGCCTGTTTTGAGGTATAACTTTATTTTAAAAGCATTTTTTACCAAAACACCTTTCAGTTTTTGATTTCTTGCCACGAATTTAAAACGGAAGTAAACGTTAAGTACGACTGAATAAATGCATGTTCGTTCATTCGACAATGAATACATTTTATTTCATGAATAACCTAATATTTGTTTCTGAATAGGAAAAACTGTGGCGTGTCATGGTTTCAAATCTAAAACCAGAACAACTGCAACGCCAAAGCGTAGCGAATCCCATCGAACAGAAATGGCTGGCATTTTTACAAACGAAGCGCAAATATCATAAAACAACACACCAGAAAGGCCACCATTTTCAAAATGGTTGCTCACTAGCCAAGTTGTCATCAGAAGAAATAATATGCTTTTAAGAAGCCACCGCTAAAATTTTTGAAAAATCACACACATACTTGTAAAATAACACACATAAAAATGGTGGCCATTTTTCAAAATGGCCGACTACTCCCCAAAGTTTTATTAGACAATGTGCCATGCTTAAAGTATTCACATATCAAATATGAACAAAATCGCTCCACTACTTTTCGAGTTATAGTAAAATACGTTAAAATCGCGGCCATTTTTCAAAATGGCCACCTTCTACCAAAAGCGACATTAGAAATAGACAGTGTGCCATGCTTATAGTATTCACATACCAAATATGAACAAAATTGCTCCACTACTTTTCGAGTTATAGTAAAATACATTAAAATGGCGGCCATTTTTCAAATTTTTTTTCAAAATGACCGCCTTCTACCAAAAGTGTCATAGGACAATGTGCCATGCTTGTAGTATTCACATACCAAATATGAACAAAATCGCTCCACTACTTTTCGAGTTATAGTAAAATGCGTTAAAATGGCGGCCATTTTTCAAAATGGCCGCCTTCTACCATAAGTGTCTTTAGACAGTGTGCAATGCTTATAGTATTCACATACCAAATATGAACAAAATCGCTCCACTATTTTTTGAGTTACAGCCAAAATCGTAAAATGACGAGTAAAGGCCGCCATTTTTCAAAATGGCTGCCATGTGCTACTTTAATATATATATTTTATAGCATTATTAATGTCCTTTATAATTTTTTTACATTTAAAACATATTGCTATTACAGTTTTACATATTGCACCTAAATTACTGTAAAATCGTCACTAAAATGGCCGCCATTTTGAAATGAGCGGCCATTTTGAAAATCAGCTTTCGAGCAGAACTTCTGCCCCCATAGGGTATATGTGTACAAAATATGAACAAAATCGGTCCAACGGTATTCGAGTTATTGCCCGGACTGACGGACGTACGAACGTACGGACGGACGGACGGACGGAGGCGTTCCCTATATCCCTCCGAACTTCGTTCGATGGGATAAATAAACAAAGTCGAAAAATTCGAGAGAATCATGATTATTTGTAAATATTCAACATGTTGAGCCTTATTTACGTTTCAAATAAAGGTGAGAGATCATAATTATTTGTTTTTGTTAGGTATCGTTGTAAACACATTGTAGTATTGACCTAAAAAAAATTTGAGTCCAAAAAACGGAAATATTTTCAATTTTTGCGTCCTCCAAATTATTTTTGAGTCCTTAACATGTACGGGACGCCGTTAATGCAAGCCCTGCCTGTATTATCTATCATTACCCCTAGAGTTCGTAATGGGGGTGTATATGTAGTTCGAGTAAACATAATTTACTAAGGATTATGATCAAATTATGCATCACTACACTCCCAATAAGTCAAGATGTCATTCAGAAATAGTAATTTTTCAGTTAAACCAGGATATTGAGACATATAGCCACCATCCACTAGGGGTGGAGGTGTTTCCAAAACTAGTAGCATGCAAAAGTTACCATGAGTACAGTATTAAGTATGTATTTATGAGTTTGACTATATAACAGAATAAAAACATGTGTACATTTTTATTTTCTTGGTATACAATAAAAAAAGAATGTACAATAAAGTCTTTCTATTTCAGGACACAATACCCACTACCCATTACCTAGGCGGAAAAAGACAATTTGCAGAGAGAGAGAGTGCAGCTCATGTACATTGTAGAACAGAACAAAGTTTATATGTGAACAATATTTGTGAGGAGAGAATGTGGATAAGATGTTGATTTCACATTCGTGAAGACATTCAGTCGTTCATGGATAATATAGATTGGGTTAATTTGGCGCTCGCTTTAATTTGGCGAATTTGGCGAAATTGAAAATTTCGCCAAAATAAATCTTCGCCAAAATTTGATACTCAGGGAAAAACTAGAAGGAAAGCGCAGTATAGTAGCAGCATCGATCGAGGTGCAAAATGTGAAGGATGATCTCACAAAACTGTACAAATGTGGTACATATCCGCCAAATTAAATAGCCGCCAATATGCCAAAAATGGCAACATCGCCAAATTAAGTAACGCCAAATTAACCCAATCTACAGTAGTTCTATTCATCTACAAAGAAAGGCACACACATATTACACACAACTCTGTTCTAGTATCAAGGGGCAGATTTATTAAAATCATACATCTCCAAGAATAACCACACACATTACACGCAACTTTGTTCTAGTTTCGGTTCGGATGAGGGAAAGATTTATTAAAATTACACATCTCTAAGAATAGCTACACACATATAACACTTAACTCTGTTCTACTATCAGGGGGATTTATTAAAATCATACATCTCCAAGAATAGCCACATATATACTGTACGCCCGGTATTATTCGCGTGCGATTAACTTTCGCGCTTTTCGCGAGGGTGTTAAAATCGCGAAAAATTATCGTCGCGAAATTGCCAATTAAATCCCCGGGAATTTGTTTTTACCCGGGGCTCTAATGCATTTCGTTTTGTCTACTAGTTTGGATCGAGTTATAGTACTTCAATAGTACTGTGCAACTCAATGACTTTACTATGCGCATGCGCGGCAATGAAAGAGCACGTGCGCACGATTGTTCACGTGATCGTAGCCTGCAATTTTATTGGACATCATATACTGGGGAATGTACTGGGAACTGAATTTCATATACTTTGGAATCCCTGAATATGATAAAATACAGTATATGCGAAATTTAATAGCCGCAAAACCGTGTTTTCGCAAAATTCGCGAAATTAAAGCTCGCGAATAATACCGGGCCTACAGTATTACACACAACTCTGTTCTAGTATCAGGGGGCAGATTAATTAAAATCATTCATCTCCAAGAATAGCCACACACATATTACACACAACTCTGTTCTTATGTCAGGTGTGAAGATTTATAATGATCACACATCTCCAAGAATAGCCACATACATATTACACACAACTCTGTTCTTGTGTCAGGTTTGAAGATTTAAAATGATCACACATCTCCAAGAATAGCCACATACATATTACACACAACTCTGTTCTTGTGTCAGGTGTGAAGATTTATAATGATCACACATCTCCAAGAATAGCCACATACATATTACACACAACTCTGTTCTTATGTCAGGTGTGAAGATTTATAATGATCACACATCTCCAAGAATAGCCACATACATATTACACACAACTCTGTTCTTGTGTCAGGTTTGAAGATTTAAAATGATCACACATCTCCAAGAATAGCCACACACATATTACACTCCACTCTTTTTTATGTCAGGTGTGAAGATTTATGATGATCACACATTTCCAAGAATAGCCACATACATATTACACACAACTATTTTTTATGTCAGGTGTGAAGATTTATAATGATCACACATCTCCAAGAATAGCCACACACATATTACACTCCACTCTTTTTTATGTCAGGTGTGAAGATTTATAATGATCACACATCTCCAAGAATAGCCACACACATATTACACTCCACTCTTTTTTATGTCAGGTGTGAAGATTTAAAATGATCACACATCTCCAAGAATAGCCACACACATATTACACACAACTCTGTTCTTGTGTCAGGTTTGAAGATTTAAAATGATCACACATCTCCAAGAATAGCCACATACATATTACACACAACTCTGTTCTTGTGACAGGTGTGAAAATTTATAAAGATCACACATTTCTAGGAATAGCCACACACACATATTACACACAACTCTATTCTTATGTCAGGTGTGAAGATTTATAATGATCACACATCTCCAAGAATAGCCACATACATATTACACACAACTCTGTTCTTGTGCACGGTGTGAAGATTTATAATGATCACACATCTCCAAGAATAGCCACACACATATTACACTCCACTCTTTTTTATGTCAGGTGTGAAGATTTAAAATGATCACACATCTCCAAGAATAGCCACATACATATTACACACAACTCTGTTCTTGTGTCAGGTGTGAAGATTTATAATGATCACACATCTCCAAGAATAGCCACATACATATTACACACAACTCTTTTTTTATGTCAGGTGTGAAGATTTATAATGATCACACATCTCCAAGAATAGCCACACACATATTACACTCCACTCTTTTTTATGTCAGGTGTGAAGATTTATAATGATCACACATCTCCAAGAATAGCCACACACATATTACACACAACTCTGTTCTTGCGTCAGGTTTGAAGATTTAAAATGATCACACATCTCCAAGAATAGCCATATACATATTACACACAACTCTGTTCTTGTGTCAGGTGTGAAAATTTATAAAGATCACACATTTCTAGGAATAGCCACACACACATATTACACACAACTCTATTCTTGTGTTGTGTGTGAAGATTTATTAGAATCACACATCTCAAAGAATAGCCACACACATATTACACATAACTCTGTTCTTGTATCCGAGCGGGGAGATTTATCAAAATCACACATCTCCAAGAATAGCCACACACATATTACACAACTCTGTTCTTGTATCAGGGGGAAAGAATTATTAAAAGCACACATCTCCAAGAAAAGCCACCCATATATAACACACAACTCTCTTCTTGTATCAGGGGGAAGATTTGTTTTAATCACACATCTCCAAGAATAGCAACGCACACATTGCAGTACACACAACTACAGAACAATATTCTTGTTTCGGGTGTGAAGATTTAAAATAACACATCCCCGAGAATTGCCACACACATTGATCACACAATAATATGGCAGCCACAGCAGTACCTAAAACGAAGAAGGTCAAAGTAGAACAACATCCCAAGTTCCTTGAACTGGTCTATACGTCCTTGTGATCAGATGTTTTTATTCTTACATGTATTGTACATCTCATTTGCATTAATAAAATAATGAACTGTACATAATGTAAATGCCTCTTTTCGTGTTTAGTTTTTGGGTAATGTGAACGAAAATATCCTTGCTGTATATGTAAAAAATCCCGACCGTATTAATGAATATCCCGAAAATATTCAGAAAGTATTCATAAATATCCGGAAAAATGGTTGAATATTCAGCCGTATTTGTGAGTAACCGAATCATATATTAGTCGTATCCCTAAGTATACGTGAAAAAACGAGATGTATATCAGTAGTATCCAGAACTGTGGATATTTCAGGATATCAGTGTTCCGTCTCTCAATAATATCCGTGAATCTCCAAATTCGAGATACTCATCGTATTTATCACGGATTCTTAAGGATACGTTCCATATTCCTATAATATCTCGCAAGTATCCAGGCAGGATTCTTTATCATTTTTCGCTGTGAAATGAATACTATATATTGGAGTGAATAAACATCTTTAGTATTAAGATATATCATATCACCTCATTTCCTCCTAGTCATATGATTGCTAGTAAATAAGATAGATATTATGAAAATCAGAATTATTCATTGTAAGAATCATTATTTCCACCCCTGCCTGTCTTTGTTATGATGTATATTGTTGCTCATAAAACAGAAAGATGTCATAAGAATCAAAGTGGTATGGCATTTCTAGTTTCTAAAGAAGGGAGCAACGACTTGAAATGAATGTATAACATCATATCAAGCTTGAGTATGTTTAATGATGATGATGATGGTGTATGGTAGAACAGTCCTGAATGTTTATAGCTAGAATATTGAACCAACTGTGCTGTGTACAACTCTGTTGTTATCAGCTTCAGCAACAGCATAAATGTGCTTCAACTATAAATGAGATATAGTGATCAATTGATTGTTACTTATTCTGATTCTCAGACCATATCTGCTGATAGGAGACTGATCTTACTGCAGGGGATGAAATCAACTCGCAGAAGCAATCCAACATACCCACACATAGAAAAGTATGTGGTAAATAATGACTCCTATGTGGAATTTGTTTCACACAAAAAATTCTGTACATATAAATAGGCACATTTCTTTATAAACACTTCCCTGCAACCATTTAATATTTGGACCTTAATTATCTGACATCTTTAACAACATGCATGTTGTAAGTAATTGGTGAACTTGAAATTATTAAGCTAACAGAATTTAGACAAGAACACAAATGTGTACAATATGTCCCCACCAATGGGTGATCCCGTCTAATGGTTATCCTGAAAATGAGTAGACAAGACTTTACTGTTACAATTTTGGAATTGAAAATGCAAAATGGCCACCTTAAAATTTACCAAGAATGCCCAAAAAATTAGTCAGCTGTAGATTTTTATACTAAGAACCATCCCTGAAAATTTGAAATTGATCCGTCAAACAGTAAACCAGAAAACAAGACTTTACAGACAAGATTTTAGGACGGAAAAATCCAAAATGGCTGCCTTGACATTTGCTCAGAATGCCTAAAAACTAATCAGTTCTAGATTTTCATACTAAGAATCATCCCTAAAAATTTGAAATTGATCTACCAAACAGTTCACCTGAAAACACGTAGACAAGACTTTACAGACAAGATTTTAGGACGGAAAATCCAAAATGGCTGCCTTGACATTTACCCAGAATGCCAAAAAACTAATCAGATCTAGATTTTCATACTAAGAATCATCCCTGACAATTTGAAATTGATCTACCAAATGGTTCACCTGAAAACGCGTAGACAAGACTTCACAGACAAGATTTTAGGACGGAAAATCCAAAATGGCTGCCTTGACATTTAACCAGAATGCCAAAAAACTAATCAGATCTAGATTTTCATACTAATAATCATCCCTGAAAATTTGAAAATGATCTACCAAACGGTTCGCCTGAAAACGCATAGACAAGACTTTACAGACAAAATTTTAGGATGGAAAAATCCAAAATGGCCGACAATAAAAAAGTGATTATACTTTTTTGCTGATTTCTTTTTACAAAATTAGCACATATAACTACTGTTAACAATAACATATGCTTTTACAATAAAGTACACCTGAAATTTTTTATAAACCTACTAAATAGTCTAAGTATGAAAACTCAAAAACACCATTCAATATGATACAAAGTATTATCGCACGCTAACTTTTCTTAAAACATTCAAAATGGCTGCCATGACTGGGCTAACAGGTCCAAAACCTAATCAGATCTAGAATCAAGTGAGCTGAACAGGATGTTAACGTTTTAAAAGCAACAGTGAAGCCATTTTTCTTAAAGTTTGCAGACAAGGATTTTAGCATTTGACTTCAAAATGGCCGACAGGAAGTAGGTATCGACTTGAAACTTTTTCGTCCACATCTGTATGCACTCATAAGTTATCCCTGAAAATTTAAAGGTGATATCGGTAGCGGTTTTGGAGAAAACTGCCGGACGTACGGACGGACGGACAGACAGACGGACGGACAGACGGACGGACGGACGGACGCGCCTAGGCCGACAATATGGCCCCACACTATGTGGTGGGGACATAAAAAGAAACAACTTGTTCTTTGTTGTTTTCATTTATTTTGCGTGTTGTCAGAAATTCTCAAAAATACAAATGACATATGGTTCAAAGTCGGAAAATATTACTTTTGGCAATACCCTAAACAATACAATAATATTGACTCAACAAGACAATGGAAACTGAAATACATAGTCTATGTATATTGAACCTGTTAACAGTGAACAAGGATAAAAATCTTTGCAAAAGAACTTTGCAATACTGCCATCTATAAATAAGAAGTATTTGATTCCACCTGTCAAATGGAATCACATGTTCTCATATCTTGTGACCCTTATCTCACAAGGGCAGTGACAGTGAAAGTAATCTCATTTAAGCTTTAACGATGTTCTTGAATGTTAAACGTATAGTGACCATTCAGATTATGACAAAAACAATGAAAAGAACAGAATGTAAATATGGCCGTATGCGTATGTGTATAAATTGTACATGAATGTACCAATTCCTTCAAACAGGTAAACAGAATATTTAAATCAACACAAATGGCACATTCAAAATTTTAAGGACAATCTAAAAGATACCATGACATGTGCAAGAGAAATAAACATGTGAATGGTATCAGTCTAAGTTGTCCCAAGACAATAACCTATCAGACTACGGCTAAACCTGTTTGCAATGAATACTATAAAGGCAGGTTTAGTTGTTCCAATTAGAGAGTTGTTTATATTGAGAAATTCTGATTACCTGGTCTGGTATATGGGAGTCAATAGGATATCCAAAAATGCAACTCAAAAATGTTCATTTTTTCTGGTGTAAATATGTGTTCAAATAAACAGATTTGACTGTATACAAATATTGAAAATCACCAGATTCTACCAGCTAATCAGTCTTTGTAACCAAGCACTGCTTACTGAAAAGTAAGGCAGTTTCATGAGACATTACTAGTTAACACCATTAAAATGTTTCAAGTTTTACTCCTCTGTGGATTAATCTTTGGATGTCAATCCCAAGCTTTGCCATCCTACTTTCCAGCATTTATACAGGGAGATGTAGTGAGTGCTAAAGTTGTTGCTTTAAAGGAGTCGGACTATAGAGGCAAGCCAGTTTATGAAATAACATTCACGGTTAAACCACATGCTTCAAGTGAATCAGAAGGTATTGTACATCGTCAGTATGAAGAATTCCAGAAATTCAATGACAAAAGACCATTTAAAATCGGGGGATATGGATTTAATGTACCAAAGCAATCTGAGGCCAATATCACAATGATGGATGCCTACCTACAGAGAACAATAGCAACAGACTCTCTCAAGACTTCCCAATTAATGAGTGATTTTCTCGGTATCAACTGGGATGGAAAAAACATTAAATGGTTTCTTGATATGGCTGAATTTATGAAAATGTTATTGAATACGAGAGTCCCTGATTTCGCTCCAGAGCCACCTATCATCAGAACAGAAGAGGACGTTCTCCATGAAGAGACTCCACATGAGGTCTTTGTGTATCTTACAGCTTTTCATCATGGTCACTCAAGTGCTAGCCTCCAAGCCTACCAAAGCTTCTTCAAAAACTACACAGAACTGACTCCTAAATTTGATGGCCCAACAGGTGAAACTGATGTCCTTCCTCCAGGTGTCTCAACACCCATCAAGATACCTTACTTTTATGATAAGGCTCATGTACATTTTCTGCCAGGGGGCTACCTCAATGGACAAACTGTACGGATCTCATACCTGGGGAAAAACAAGTTCAATATGTTGAAGGAGGTGAATTTGAGGGACAGAATTAAGCAATTTCATGGACAGAGATCACCTAAGATGATTCTAGATGTGGGAACAGGAAACTGTTTTTCTGCTTTCTCATTTGCTGAGGTGTTTCCTAATTCTATTGTACATGGAGTAGACCTAGCAGCACCTTATGTAAGGTATGTAAATATTAACTCATAACTTCATTGAAATAGATTGTGCCTATTTCAATTTTCTAAAACGTATGAGGGCTTCACCATATTTTTATTTCTGAACTTGTATGGATAATCTGAATTTGAACTTAAAGATAAACTTTATGTCCCAAATCATGAAGCATTTTTTCAGGTTTTGTCGTGTCTGGCAAAAGGCCCGTCAATCCAACAACACCTTTTTCTACCAGGACAATGGAGAGTCTCTCCACTATAAGGACAACACATTTGACATTGTTCAGTATACCTATGTGTTGCATGAGATGCCAGCGGAAAATGCAGCCAGATTCCTAAAGGAAGCATTCCGTGTACTTAAACCTGGAGGCGTCATTAGTGGATTTGAAGGTAAGCTTTGGTGTTGAGTTATTGCAAATGCCATATAATCCTAAAGGAACTAGAAGGGATAGCAATGAGTTTCTCTCATTCCATGTCATACTTTTTTGCTTTTAAGACAAAGGCAATATAGCATTTTGGAAAAGTGCAATAAATATAGGTTATCTATTGGAAGAGATTGAATATGTTTTTTTTCCGAGGGACAATATGACTGAAGAGTAATATGATATTGACCAAGGGAGCGCAGCAAACGAGTATCAATATCATATTGCCCAAGGTCAATATCATATTTTCCGAGGAATAAAACCTATGTTCAATCCCGTCCAGAAATAACCTATTTATTCCATAATAAACATGCAAGGTTAAAAATAACCCGGAAACCAAAAATAGGTTAATAACACTCCAATACGATTTTTTCCCGGAGACAATACAATTTTTTCATGTAATATGATTCAATACGATTTTTATTCCTTCATATTTCCCTGGGAAAACAGTAGTAGTATGGTATAAACTTGTCTTCTGACATTATTTCAGGATAATATTGGGTTTAAGGTTATTTTGGAAAACATTGTCAAAGGGGTAGTATAGGGATTCCCTTTTCACTACAAATGAGGTCTGACAATCCTGCATCTTAAATCTTCAATTTCAATATTTGATCCGATATACGTGTTATAAAAAATGTAAGGAAAATATTGCCATCTTTGAAATATTTCTTCTGACATTTTACACTCTCATTATCTTTCTTTATCACCTTTTGCCCTTACAAAGGAAACATATAAAAAATAAATAAAATATTTTTACAGCAGAAGAAAAAAAGAAAGTTTTAAGAAAAATGTGTATATTAGTGAAACTAAACTATCTTGGCTAAATGAAAGTACATTTCTATTTGTTGTAATATGTGACGCTATGTTTCAGTACCTTATGTTGTTGACCCAGTGGAGAGACCAATCTTTGTTGAAACACAAACTTGGGGATACAAGTGGAACACCACTGGACCACATGGACCAGAGCCATTTGTTGGGGAATTTGAACTGGGTACAAAACTACCACAAATGATCAAAAGTGTAGGCTTTATAAACATGATAGACCAGTCATATACTGAGTTTGATCATTTCTATATTGCTGAAAAACCAAAGGAATAACATAATAGATTTGCAACCTGACATTGATAAGTTAATTGATTAAAATCCATGTTTATTATATTCAGAGAAAATAAAGACAAGTTGCCATATCAAACTACAATTTATGTTTATTCTATATTCAGTAGTTGAAAGGTCTATGAAATGTCGTTACATATTCATAGACCGTTACATATACATGTTACATATTGTAACATGCTGCTATTTGCATCATCAACACATGAAACAAGCAAAATGTCACCACCTACCATTTGTTACAGACACTGACTGCCAAACACCAACAGGCTGTTACTAATAAAATGAAAACAATTATGTAATACTACTCCACGTTTAAAAAGGAAAGAATGTTTGTTTTCGTGGAAAAAGGTTAAGAAATATATTTCTGGATCTGAAGCTCCCATGATGCACTGCGAGTGTCAAATGGTTACCGATATGCTTGGTCAGATTAAACATTTATTATATAGCTTTTAACTCATCACAAGAAGGTTATCATGAACATACTTATAGTTTCCAGAGATTCTAGAGACACATCTGTAACAGCATTGTGCACAGAAATGGCTCAATCAATAGTGGTAAATGAATTAATGGAATTTACCCTTTTATCACCCTATTTTTTCAAATGGAAAAGTAGGGTCTGTGTTTATTGGAGTATGTGTGCCTGTTAGAGATAATACGGTATTCAAATTCAACTCTTCAAGATATTATGCCAGGATATATAAATGTTAGTGATTCATAAAGACATGAAATCATGCACTGAAATAAGACCGCCCTTTAAATTACAACGCTAAACAAAAAGTGGTGGAAAACAATGAACTTTAATTGAAAAAATTGCAATGACCGTTTATTTTGTGGTTGAAATTGACAAATTGTAAGATTCTTTTGATACACAAGTTTTTCTTACCTGAGAATACTGACATCATTGTTGTGTTTGACTGAGTTTTACAATGTATTACATACTGGTAATTAGATACGCGATGAGTATCATATTGTTTCCTTATTTTTCACAATCAAAGTTGTCAACAAATGGGACATTTCATTTTACGGCTGATTTGACACTTGGTACATCTAAAGTGTACGACAGTATATTTTGTCACTGTACGTTGTCGATGGTTAGATGTGATATTTCACTTCAAAATATAAAGCAAAAATAATTGACATACATGAATCTTCAAGTTTAGTACTACTACTATATGACCAGAAGGATATGAATTTCAAAATTTCAATAAAATAATTGTGGCTTGAAAATTTCAACTCCAGGTCTGTTTCAAAATCTATCTATTTTCTAATTCCACACTTATATGTTGACATAGATCTCTCAAGTAAAAACCTAACTTTCAATGTATTACCAATTTACCATTCTAATTCTACGGGCCAAACCATGTGGAAATCAACAAAGTGGGTTTTGTAATCAGGGAATAAATCAGAGGGAAAATGAAACATTTCAAAAAATCATAGCCAACATTATATATAGTCCTGGCATGGGATATAGAGTCCATTTCACTGCTTCATTTCGTCAGTAGAAAGGCAAAAATAAGAAATTGGGAGACCATTGTGCAATAATATATGGAAAAGTATATTCATAATGTACATGAATGACATTTGTATATTTCAGATTTTTTAGTTTTTTGTGCAATAAGCCTGTGCCGTCTCGTAATTTGAAAAATTTCAGCCATGTTAATCTTATTGAAAATAACATGGCAGAGAAACATCCAAATATAAGAGGCCACACACTTTATAAGCCAAACTAGAAGCAATCCAAGATATACAAATGTCATTCATGTACATTATGAATATACTTTTCCATATATTATTGCACAATGGTCTCCCAATTTCTTATTTTTGCCGTTCTACTGACGAAATGAAGCAGTGAAATGGACTTTAGACTATATCCTATCGTCTGAAATCTTTTGAAATTGGCTACCAAACTATTGTGAAAAGTGGTATATAATAATTTCACATATGTACGTTCACAAGTAATAATTACTGAGTATTTGAGTACGCTTATGTCGCTGTCTGTCACTAGCCCTATTTACACTTAGTCACACCTTAGTCATCCACATAATAACAACAAATTTTCCCTAATAACAACAAATTTTCCCTAAACTTCATGTAGTAAGTTTGAACAACTTATTGTTTTCTATCAAATTGTACATGTTCTGTACAAATATTATACTTATACTTGGAGTGATTAGAAGTCCATGGTTTAACACCTCTTAACATGTTCACCGTTTTCATTGTTGGAAAATAATTTATGAATGAAGAATTTGTTTGCAAAAAATATCACTGAAGAAACCACTGTATGTAAACAAATATAGAATGTAGACTGAATTTTGATAAAAAGGCTACAGAGGGTAACTATAGATCTAGTGTAGCATTCCTTAGTAGTAGAGTACAGGGAGGCAATGTCGTCCATTTAGGTAATTGTCAGAGACTCAATGTAGGCCTTTCTTTTTCCGACAATTACCTTTGTAAGTACTTAATTGGACTGCTTCCCTGCCCTAGTATGTATCCAACACTGCCTAGAAGTCAGTCTGTTATGATGTACTACTGTCCTGTGGAAATTGCAGTGAATTTTTTTGCACAAAATTATCAATTAGAGGAACTATTTCTTCAATAAAATAAACATAACAAAAATTCAATTAAGTAATAAGGTACAATAATTAAATGCAATAAAAAGTAACACAGCAAATTGTCAAGTGGAAGTAAAGCTAGTTGAAGTAACAAATGTGCAAATTAAAGGGGCAATAAGGCTTGTAGAGAGAAAATAGGAAAATTAAAAAATTTTCTAAGCTATCGAGGCAACAGTTGGCTTAACATCTTCTTCGACATACCTATTTTCTTAAAATGTATGGATAAACTATCAATTTCGGCATTAAAAAGTGTAAATTCAGTTCAAAGCTTCAAAAAGGGGACGTCCACTTTTATATATTTAAGATCCACCATGTTTCAAGAGGAATATAAGCTGAAATAATGATTATCTAGGGGGTTTCAGTCTTTGTAGAAAATAAAAATAGATGTTAGTCTTGATGAAATATCCAAACTAAATATATTTTGACACTGGTCCATGATCGTTGAATGGCCCCTCTGCACTACTTGTTGCACCCCCAATCAGCCATTTTGAATAGCACTTCCTATGTTAAGAAATATTTTGAATTACCAAACTTTAACATAGGTGGCTTATAGTTACTTTGGTCCAACGCCTTCTCTATATTCAAGCTGTAAGCTAGAGACTCGAGTAAGCTTATAGTCTGAATATATTCAGACTAAATAGGATATCTAGATCTAGTCTATTCCCTGCCCTCTATTCCAGAAATGAAAACATTTTGGAAAAATCCTCATTTAGTCTACTCATTGATGACTTACCAGAGTTTTCTTTGTTGTAGAATAAGACGAATTACATTCAGCAGACAAAGCATTTCATACAGTCGAAGAACGTTTGAAACTGGGTCAGAAAGTACTTGCATACTTCAGCTTCAATTGCTTTCATTTTGAATGTGTTTCTTTTGTTGTTTCTTCTGGAAAACTTGCTTCGACCTTTTATAATTATCGTACTATCGCTCTCTCAGTCACATGTAATGTTTTTGTTGTGGAATTTTCGATGTGTAGAGTGGTACCAGGACAATGCAAACATCGGCGAATGCCTTTTGCGCGAGTTGCTCTCCGCGCACGTTGCTAACTAGGTCAAGGTCAAACTAATTAGTCACGTGATCAAAACATAATATGCAGCAAAACTAATCACGACATTCTAGTCAAGTGTAGCGGACTAATTAGACGCACTCGATTATAAAAAAGTAATAATTAGAACAACCGAATTCTAAAGTAGTAGGCTATTTCTTCTCTACAATTTCAATTGATCGAATACATGAACAAATCAAAAGTGAAAGTGACTAACCTTTTCCGGAGGTCAAACATGGCAGCCATGGGAAATAAAACGTGAAATCAACATTGAGATACTATTGCGAAATTCTCTGTAATTTCGCTCAAGCTAACCTATCCATCGAAAGAATTCATTCACATGGAAAACTTACTTCATTGTTGGCGACTTGCAGGTAAAGCTTGTTTTGACTTCGTTTTCTGTTATGATAGATTAGTAATCACATTCACAATCACATCTAAAAGCAGAACATTGAATCTCATAAACTTTTTACTGTAGTCAGTCACTCCTTCACTATATTGTTCTTATACTCTCAATAGTATTTGCGCAACTATAGGAACAAAACCAAAATTATCTATTGCAAGACTTTTGTGTGGCACAACTGCGCCATTATTTAGTGTTTTTAAGTTTCGCAAGGAACCTAGTCCAGGCCCGTAGCCAGGGGGGGTTCGCAGGGTTCGGGCGAACCCCCCCCTGGCCAAAAATTATTTCAAAATCATGCAGTTTTTCACCATTTTGAGCATTTCTCAAGTGATTTTAGCCATATTTGGGCCAAAATTGTCAAATGTGAACCCCCCCTGGAAATTTTTGAAAACTGAACCCCCCCTTGGCAAATCCTGGCTACGGGCCTGTAGTCTATATCCAATAGACTGAATTTCAGACTACTATTTTTTTCAAGGCCTGTCTGCGTCGCTAACATGCTAAATATAAGAGTTAGCTGACGTTTGGGAGTCTGACTTACCTTCTAAAGGTTAGAACCCGAATCTTAATGAAACCATATCACCTTTGTTCCGTCAACCATGGAGCATTTGCCACAACATCCAAGAGGTAAATCATGGATCGAGAAAATGAATGATTTCCTTGTAAGTTCCGGAAGTTTCAATACGAAAAATTACCGAACATATGTGAAAACCGAATATTTGTTCGTTGTTTTCACGATTTACAGGTTCGTTTGTTCTTCAATGTTTTGGTCTAAATTATAAAGCATCACCAACAGGTCTTTCTCTATTAATCGACTAATACAGCAGACGGCTCATATTTCTACGTAGCATTTCATTCAGACCAATAGTGGGAGTGTAGATCACGCAGTTTCGTTCGTTGCGTACTTCACTTGAAATTGGTAATTTTTAATATTGACTACTTCACTTAGCTTGGCGGATGTAGAACATTGCTTAATATTCTTTTAATTTTCACACCAGACATGCTTGGTTGACACGTCAACAAAGTAAAGTTCAAGGGTCAATGCGTTATTTCGTGATAACTACAACGCCTTCCCGGAAGTCAACATTGATGAAAAATGAAAAAGTCGGAAAAGCATTTACGCTAATTTCTATCAAATGCTATGTTTATGCATCATCATCGACGCAACAAAGGTGATATAGTTTCATTAAGATTCGGGTTCTAACCTTTAGAAGGTAAGTCAGACTCCCAAACGTCAGCTAACTCTTATATTTAGCATGTTAGCGACGCAGACAGGCCTTGAAAAAAATAGTAGAGGATATAGCAAGGATCCTGCCTTACTCGAGTCACTAGCCAAATAACTTGGCTAGAAGACATGGCATGTGGACCACCGTGCACTAGTGAAAACGTTGATTCTGGAGTAAGATTTTTTTAAATGTTATTCTAAAAATTGTGATGAGAATATTTCATCAAATAGAATGTAACGAATACTATCCTTTGTGAGATACATGTATTGCACGCTCTCGTCTAAACTTAAAATCATTTGGTCTGCCATTTATAAAAACCATCTGCTGAGGTTGATCTTTATCTCGCTTTAGCGAAAAACAAAATGGCCGCTTTTACCGAAGGATCATTTTCAAAAGATTGCTCTAAAAAAGACTAAATAAAAGCCGATGTAGATGGTCATATGAACTAAGACTATATACTAAGTTCAATGAAGGTATGTTTATTACATTTGAGTTAATTTATAGCAACAGTCCACACGGATAGAGTAAAAAGCAATAAAACAAACAGGGCTTGATGATAGCGTAAGGCCACACTGTGGCCGAAGAATAAGGTAAATCCTTCCATGACCGTGGTATTGTTATCGTGAAAGCCTGGTAAAACCGTGACAATGCTATATTATTTTGCAAGGCCTGTCATGACCGTGGTAATGTTAAAGCCTTATATGGCTGTGGCAATGGTTGTAAGGCCTGTCATGACCATGGTAATGTTAAAGCCTGATATTACCATGAAATAATATAGATTAACGATAAAAATTTTCATTACAGTATTCTCATGCTACTAAATGATTGTCACGGTCATATTGTGCTTTAACATTACCAGAGTCATGACAGGCCTAAGGCCTTGCAACCATTGTCACGGTCATATCAGGCTTTAACATTACCACAGTCATGTCAGGCCATTGTCATGGTTATACCAGGCTATCGCGATAACATGGCAGGATCCTTGCGAAACTTAAAAACACTTAATAACATGGTGACGGTTGTGCCAGGCATGAGTCTTGCAACAGATAGGGTCTCAAAATTATGCTCATACAAGGGACTTACTTGTTACATTTAGATCTAGATCTTAGCCTTTTTTCAAAGTCTCTATCTGTACAGTGGGGATCATAAAGAATTGCAAAAGCTATGAAAATTACATGCTGTCGCGCATGTAATAAATTCTTACCTCAGTGTATTCAGTGGTCTATTTTCTCCGTCTTAGTAAGTCCAAATATAGTGGAATTTGTGTCCCTAATGACAAATAAGAACTTCAAAAGTTGAAGTAGATATTCACATGTTATGCCGACTCTTCAAATGTTGAGGTGATTTTGTCGCCCGATTGCGCCGGAACGGAGGATTGGCTCCCAGAATGCAACATGACACGTGCCAGCTTTCAAAATGCTGTTCCGCCATTTTGAAACCTGTTATGAGTAAAAACGGTTAACTGATGTTGCATTCTGGGAGTCAACCGTCCTTGGATAACAAACATGGCGATTCATGAAAACATTCATTCGATATGGTAGGGATTTATCCATTATTTGCAGGTATGAAGCTTTGGATTCATTTATTGTGCTACTTTAGTGAACGGGAATTATTTTTCTACCACTTGGGAGAGTTTGAGACACGAAACTTCGAAATTGGCTCATTGTGACAACTTGTGAACGTTGAGTTTTATTTTTGTCCCCCACTGTAGGCTATTGAACAGCCTTCTATGGCCTCCAAAAATAGGCCACTAGATAATCGTAACTGCTGAAACTGAAATACTGAATTCACCTGCTTTCTTTAAATATCTCCAAATGTTCTCTATATCTCCTTGTCCAACAACATTAGACCTAGTCAGGGGCCTCGTTTCTTAGCTGACATGTCTTATGGCCCCGACTAGGTCTAACCTCCATGATCATTTTGCCTTTGATGCGTTAATTTAATCGTTCCGCAGGTTATAAAACTAGCCATTATGATTAAGGGTAAATCAACTATTATAGTCAGAGGAATAGTGAACTAGCCATTATGATTAAGGGTAAATCAACTGAAATAGTCAGAGGAATAGTGAACTAGCCATTATAATTAAGGGTAAATCAACTGTTATAGTCAGAGGAATAGAACTAGCCATTATAATTAAGGGTAAATCAACTGTAATAGTCAGAGGAATAGTGAACTAGCCATTATGATTAAGGGTAAATCAACTGTAATAGTCGGAGGGTATCGTGAATGTGAACTAGCCATTATGATTAAGGGTAAATCAACTGTAATAGTAAGAGGGTATCGTGAATGTGAACTAGCCATTATGATTAAGGGTAAATCAACTGTAATAGTCAGAGGAATAGTGAACTAGCCATTATGATTAAGGCTAAATCAACTGTAATAGTCAGAGGAATAGAACTAGCCATTATGATTAAGGGTAAATCAACTATTATAGTCAGAGGAATAGTGAACTAGCCATTATGATTGAGGGATAATGGTGAGAAACTATCCAAAATCAATGAGAACCTGTCAGTTGTCAATTTGCTATTCAGATATTATTGCTAGTCTATTGTGTATGGCTAATATAATCCATGAGAAAATAATATGGTGATGCTTCTATTTCTGTGATAAATCTCAACGAAATATCAGATGTTTTTCTTTCTCCAAACAACTTAGAGTATGAACAACATGCTATTAATTTATTCCATGCTAATTCTATTCTTTTTCATTTTATTTTCCAGTATGAAGTTATGCCATCATGATATTTTCTTGAAGGAATTAATTCAAACAGTAATACCTGAAATGATCAATTATCCAATACCACAGCAATACAAAAGTAGGAGAAAGTTAATTAAATCACCTATCAAGAAAAGTCAGATGAATTGTATGTTCATTTTGTGAAGTTTTCTTGTTAAAAATAAATCAAAATATATTAATTTGATAAATATAATTTTACTTCTCATTTTTTATTTAACTTTTTATTCATGAAAGTTATAGATACTAGTAATCATGAAAAAATCATTTTGCATGTTATAGTTGGGATGAATTACCCTGGGCTTGATAGCTCGACTGCATCCTCTGACTTGAATCAATCAATTTACAGTGCTCTAAATTCATCCAATCAGACAGCATCACAAACGCATGGCTACATATGGTTACTTATTCAAAATCAACAATATTGTTCTTATTAGATGAATGATGGGCCCTGATTGGTTCTTCTCAAGTCCATAGGTTTATCAGTAATTTGAGGAAGTTGAATAGTCTTTCAAAGGGTTTGAATGAATGAGTTGTAGTGCCTGCTGTAGTAGCTTGAATGTTTCTCAGTAGAAAGCAGAGGTGATCACTATATTAATGTTTCAATTTATAGGTGCTATTCAACATGTAAATGTGTATAATGATACAAATTTTAAATAAGGTGTAAACTTTAGAGAGTTGCTTCACCTGAATAAGGATATTGTGTTATATCTCAGAGATATAACATACTTTAAGAGGTAATATTAGTAAATGTCTAAAGCAACTTGATTTGGACTAGAAATATGTAAAAGCTTAATAAAATTATTTTTGGTGTGAAATTGGTCAAGAGGCTTAAGATTTTTAAGATGCTTATTTGATAACAAGATATTTGGATACATGTACTTTCATATTGCTCATTGAGAAAAATAGAAAATATGCTGAATTTTATGAGACATTTCAGTGATTTGTAAGCATTCTCTTTGTGCTTAACTCTTAATATCTACAATTACTGTTATTACTGTTATGCAGATGTGATTTCTTTTTTTCAGATGCAGCACATGAACTTTATATGGCATTAAAAAAGATGGGAATTTCACAGTGATATGACTTTATGAATTTCACTTACTGCACAATAAATAGGTGCCAACGATTGAACTACTGCTGAATTGAAGGGAAATAATCTGTGTGGCTGTAGATTTAATGCAAGGTAATTGTCTATGACTTGTAACATTTTGTAACCCCTTGCAATAATTTAAAGAGAGAATCAGATCTAGCGAGCAGCCTAACAAAAAATTGTTTCAATTTTAGAATATTTCTGGCTTATCTCATTCCTTTTCATGTCTATTTTCTAAAAATCCCCAAAGTACACACTTTATTTCAGGGAAACTAAAGATTTTTACAATAATGTATTGTTTTTCTATAAGAATGGTTACCATTCTTATTATTTGGGAGAATTTTAACATTTTTCACCCATTTTTGCACTTTGAATCAATTATAATTTCACCAATCTATAACATATTGTGAATCTTTTTCGAGATATTGTATTTGAGATTATAAGGAATAGATTGGTAGGTCAATTGTACATGTTGCTTGTAATTTTGTCACCTCCATATATCTGATTCTACCTTTAAGAAGTAGATTTCACATTGACCTCAAATGATAATGTCAACACATGAGTTTTAAAATATTTTTGGCGGTCTCAGTTACCATGGCAATGAATATATGTTAACCATTGAAACAGATTGATTTTTGTGCCCGACATTTGGTTCTGTAACTATTGTTACATGTTTGTTTTGTTTCATTTTTCATTACATTTTTTAATAACAAATGTGACAACTTACTGACAAAAACATGCTACAAAATAACAGGCTATGATATTCCGATCGAATTTTTTACTGTATGTTTCAACTGATTTTGGGTAATATGTGGCAATGAATTAGGCAATGTAAACCTGTAGAATTGTCAACTCGTCCATCAGTTCTTTGTCCTTCCGTGAACAATTTTCCGTTAAAACTTCCTTTTGTCTGAACTAATGCTAATTACCATTTTATTGGGTTTCATATTTTGAGAATATACAGACTCAACATGTGAGCACACTGCACAAAATGATTTAACACAGATAGAAGAATTCCATGATTTCATGTCAACGCAGAAAAAACGCAGAATTTTGGTTTTCAAAATTTTTGCAGGATTTGATTCTTTCGCACAGAATTTCGCGGAAATATGTTTTTTCCAGTCAGCCACCTCATCTCATCTTATATTTGTCACTCACCTTGACCATGGGTATTCAATAGAAAGCCCATGCCTTGACACCTCAGGTAGTTATTTGTCACCAGAAACTGGTGTTATGAGGATTTCGAAGGGGAAGTGATCCCCTTTGAAATGATCCTCAGGTCTATTTCAAAGGGGAAATTTGAAATCTGTTTAAAATTCTCAAACATCAGGCTTTTGCACTTGAAGATTACGTCTAATGTCATGAAATTTAAATTCCCTGCAATTTAGTGATAATTCAGATGAAGCTCTTGCTTGCAGAATTTATCGGGGAATTCTGGATTTCATGCAGAATTTCTGCACAGAATTTGCATTTTTCTCTTCAGAAAACTAGGATGTATAATTTAATATTTTTTTATTTTTAGATTGCTAAGATGGATGTTGACTCTTTGCTACGTGCACTTGGTAAACCTGGTCGCCATGCCATCATATTATACTTCCTGTTAATGTGTTGCTGGCTACCTGTTTCATTCAATCACCTAGCGATGGTTATATTTGGGGCACGTACATCTCATCAATGTGCAATCCCTGATGAACTCTTGCACATGAATGGTGACAATATAATACAGCTCTCTAGTAATGGAGATCCATTAGAGGAACTATCCAGCAATGGAAGTTATAATTCACATGTTGGATATAATGTTGGAAATACGAGTGTGTTGCCAGTAGGGAAGTGCCAAGTGCTTTTTGTTGAGAGTAACATTACCAAAGATTGTCCATGGGGCTGGAAATATGAAATGGACCTAGGAGAAAATAACATTATATCTGAGGTACATGACCGTTTTGAATGATAGATTTTGTGTAACTAAAATGACCATATTGCATCAAAATCATGGATTTGAAACATTTTACAATGAAAGATTTAGGTGGTTAATGTCCAGATTCAAAAATATTATATAGTTGGCTCTCATGTCTAGATTAATAAAATGCAATTCTTCGTTTATGTGACAGTTTAGAGCATTTTTGGTTTCATTAGCAGCAAACAAGACTATTTGGCTATTCTTACCAAAATGATATCCACATTACAATTATAATTTCAAATAATTTTGCCATTTGTTGTTAGTGAAAGTAGAAAAATGTGCAATCAAGTTGTCTAATGTAACCCCTGGGACTGCAAGTCCTCTGTACAACTTTTCTCCTGAAAATTAACCTGTATAACCTTTTCCAATTTTTCAGTGGGATCTAGTATGTAACAAGAAGACCCTAGCTAGCCTCTCCACTACTATATACTTTGTAGGGGTGATGATAGGAGGAGTATTGTTTGGTACTCTTTCTGATCGGTTTGGTCGCAAGCCCCTATTGCTGTTCACACTATACCTCCCAGTTGGAATTGGAGTTGGGATTGCATTCTCCAATTCCTATTGGCTGTTTGTGTTCCTCAGGTTCATACAGGGATTCCTATTACAGGTAAGTCACACATATTTAGGTGTAAACTCAGCCAATGAAGCTGCAGTAAGTATCACAATTCTAGTTCATATGTTTACAACGCCTTCATCGACATATTTACAGCTCGTATTCATATTATATTTTCATTATGTCTTAACCATACCTTTTTACTTTGTGACGTTTCATCCAGCATGTTCGCTTGACTTTCTCAAACTGCTTGAAGTACTCTTTCTCTTTCTTGCTGTAAACTGACCCTTTAATCCAATGTTTACTTCTGTGACCTTCATTGCCTATAACCTTGACATTATCCCAATCAATTAAATCCTCCATTACTTTATGAACAAGGCATTCATTGTTTTACTAACGAGGCCTTCATTCTAACATAGTCTTCATTTACATAACATCCATTTTCATATTTACAAGCCCTTCATGTCTATATTTACAGGGCCTCCAGACAATCAGTTATACAATGATATCTGAAATGGCTGTTCCAGAGATTCGTTCAGTAACTGGCACCATGACAAGCTTAGTGTGGGGAACAGCAGTAATGTTGTCAGCATTTGTATCTTATCTTATTAAGGACTGGCGCTATATACAGCTGGCACTTACCTTGCCTAGTGTTGTCACAATCATTTACATTTGGTGAGCATTTGGCTTAATTTGAGTTTTAAATTAAAGCAATTGAGGTTTTCATTTTAAGCCCAGTATTTGCATATAACCTGTGCTGAGGGAAGAAACACTCTCCTAAATGGCTGAAAGTTCCTAGACAGGTGTTTATTTCAGAGAGGGTCCATGTTTTGTGCCAGCCAAAATATTGTTGTTTTATTATTTTTTGTGTTATCCACAAGTTTGAATAATCAAAAGATTGAAAAGCCTTAATTTAGTGTCACATATATTCATTTGTAATCTCTCAAACCAATTTATCAGTCTCGAGAACTCATACATGAAATTCTATTTGCACAGAGTTGAAACACGTACTGACTTTATGATATGAGGGAATCATAAAGAATTCCATGCAAAGATAAATCACTGATGTACTTCCCTGGGACATTTATATTGCAAACATGATTAGATTGTAGAAAAGTTAGGATTATTAAGATTCAAACAAGAATTCTTATTTCACATCCTCCTTTGCATGTTAACATCAAACTTGGTAAAATTCTCATTTGGAAGCCAACTGTTCCTGACTATTGGAAGGATTGTTGTTACAGGGTAGTTCCTGAATCTCTACGTTGGCTAATTGCTAAGAAGAAATTTAAAGAAGCAGAGGAAATCCTAAAAAAAGCTGCACGATTCAATAATGTCACTATACCAGAAGACCCCTTCAATACTAAGCAAAGTGATAGAGACCCCTTCATTAATGGTGTTGTTAGTGTGCCTGATAGGGAAGAGTCTGTTGATAGTGAAGAGAATAATGGAAAGAGAGAAAGGAGATATCATGTGGTAGATATGTGTAGGACACCAAATCTGAGGCAGAGGTCCATCATAATGTTTTACATTTGGTAGGTTGTCATCACATCAAGAGATTTATTTAAAGAAGAAAGAATCCTGTATCACTCATTATTGGACATTCAAAAACATGAGTGCACATACTAATCTGTGCACATAATGCACGAGGGCGGAGCCTGAGTATATGGGTTAGGACAACAATGGCACTGTTCATTAACCATAATGCACTGTAAAAAAACGTTTCTGCTCCATATTCTATATTCCTTGACTTATGCACTGAAATAGTCTAGGCTGATTGGCTGAGACACACTCTGCATATTCAATTAAAAAATGATTTTTGTCTTTGGTCAGGCCATTTTAAGTTATCATTACTCTTATTCAACAAGAAATAAAGTAAAACCATCTTCTTTTGAGCCTCTATTTTGTATTCTTTTAATGAAAATGTTTACTATCCCATCAAAGGAAGTGTATACTTTACATTTTATTGCAGGTTTGCAGCGTCAGTTGGTTACTATGGTTTGTCCCTTAGTATCTCTACTCTGGCTGGGAGTAAATATCTCAACTTCTTTATAAGTGGTGCTGTAGAGATTCCAGCCTATATCCTTGCCATGTTTGTACTCAGAAAGTAAGTTATTTTTATCATTATCAAGTGTTTTTTATGAATGTGACTTTGGAGATTCTTGTTCTCATTAATGTGACATTAGCAGACTGAATTTTGGTACCATTTAGAAAAATTCCTTGATGTACAATTTCAGAAGTGAAATCTAGACTACGGAATTTTTATTGGTAAAGTTCTCAAAACATTTTAAAATCAGTATACAAGGTCAAGGTCACCAATAGTTGTAAAAACATGCACCATTGAAGGATCTCCCCAATAAGTTTGGTTACCGAAAAACAAGAAAATTCATAAACCTAGATCTATTGACTTATGGCAGTGATTTCTCCTTCTTTCATCACCAGAAGTGGTGACATATTGCTATAGTCTCAAACTTTTTTGTGAACAGTGTTCATCAGTCAATGTTGGCGTCTGTAATGTATTTTTTGTTTACCACCAATGAAGGTGAGTAATACCTCATGGGTATATCCTGTATATATGCAGTTGTAATTAATGCATGTAATCACGGAAGGCACACCCAGGAACCCTTCCTTGAAGGAGCCCTGTGTTCTTTTATGTGCACTCATACATAGTCATACAAGTACACACCACAGCCTTTTACGAGTTGTGGACCACTCAGTCAAACACCCTGAAGTACTTTACTCAAACAAATTAATTGAGCACATCAATAGACCGGTGAAGCACAAAAACCTATATATTATCTGTCCCAGACAGACCCCCCATCCCCCTGTTAACCATACATTGTATATGGAAATTGTAGACATGCACGATTACAACAAAAAAATATTATTACATGATTATTATTTCACGATCGTTTTTTTAGTTCCAGCCACAAATTATTCGATTTATTGACAACGTTGGCCTTACTTACAATAAACCCTGGCTATATCTAATATCATAATCATAAACTAATACCTGTATTCCTTGTTTTAGATATGGGCGTAGAATTCCACTTTGTGTGTATTTTGTGATAGGAGGAATATCTTGTACTGTAGGTGGCATACTTACTACAGATTCATGTAAGTTTATATTACTGTATAAGCAAATATTTTATATATTTAATTACAAAGCACTACCTTAACCAATATAAATTTAATTTTAGATAGTTTAGTCAATAGTTTGTTATTCCATTATTGAGAGTGAGGAATATCAGCCATCCAGGCTTCGTGGAATATCCCTTGTGAAAGATCCACAGGTGTTCACTGAAAATAGAATTAAATATTTATATAATGATTCGACTCGTAAAATAATAACATGAAAAAATTATTGTGGTTGACGAAATGAGCCATATGATGAGAAAACCTGTCAGTTCAAGTATTTTTAGAAGTATTAATTGTGTGCCTCTGTTGATAATGTACTTGCAGTGAATCTTAATGGAGAGGGAAACCTAGACATGGTTGCCACTGGATTTGCTCTGGTCGGGAAGTTTGGCCAGGCGGGTACCTTTGCTGTGATATTCTTATACTCCTCAGAACTCTATCCAACTGTTATAAGGTAAGTATTTTCTTACAAGGGCCATTCTTCATTCCTTTTGTTCAATACGTCAAGGAAATTGATAATGATCCAAATCCATCAACTTGATGCTTCTCATACTTCTGATCCAGTCCAGTCCCATTAAAGTGCAAACATCCAACAATTGTATGGTTGGCATCTGGCGATGCAAATAGCAAATGGCATGTGGAGACATTTTGCTTGTTAATGTCTTGTGTAAAAGTTGAATGTGTAACCAAGCATGTTGATTGAGTTTATAAATTGCTTTAAGTTTAGTGTGTAACCAAGACCAAGAATGTTAAATGTGTTCACCATAATATGAAATATGTTCATCACAATCTTGATTATGTTTCCAGGAATGTTGGTATTGGGGCATGTGCCTTCTGGGCTAGACTAGGGGGAGTAGTAGCTCCACAGATTAATCTCTTGGTCAGTATACATCTTTTCTTGTTATCTTATTTGTTGTTTATATTTCATATTTTCTATTCAGCTATCTGCAGATGGGTTTTTCATCCAAAATAGACTGAAAACTTTAAACATTTTGCTCGATTCAATCAAAATGTTGATGTTGTTTCACATTTATCTTACTACATGTAGTTTCACACAACAACCTTTATTCATGTATTTTTGCAAGGCCTCTGAGCACATTAAGTCATTTCCAATATTTACATTCAAAACATTTACTCATTATCCCACTGCACGAAGTGAATTGTCAATATGGCGACTCGATTTAAAATGGCCACCATTTTTCTTAGAAATGTTATCTTTGATAACATACTAGTTAACAGATTTGGTTCAGAATTTATTGCTAATGCCTAGGGACATATTAGCTCTGCTCTATAAGAAGTTTTGATGTACGATTTATGGATCAGCTTATGGAATTTAGTCAAAATTTTATAGGCTTATATCCTACAGAATAAATACCTCTGCTCAAAATGCCTGCCATGTTTCATAACTCAAATACCAGTTGACAATTTGGTTCAAATTTTATATTGTGATGCTTTAAGCCTCAGTCACATTTGATCAACGGCAACTGTATGGTGAGCAAAGCTTCTCGAAATTGAGAGAAATATGCAGCATAAAATGTAGGGATAAGCAGTATGATGTAGGTTTTCTATATTGATTTGATTTGATGTGAAGTTACTGCTGCCTAGGCAAATATTACTGAGCCTTTAAGATGGCTGTTCGATTCAAAATAGCTGATATGATCTTTGATAACTCAAATACCAATCGACAGATTTGGTTCAGATTCTAAACGCTGATACCTAGGGACATAATAAATTCTCAAGATGGTTGCTAAATTTCGAAATGGCCACCATAGAGTGTATATCATAATTATCTTGTGTACATTCAACTCACTTCCAATATTTGCTTATTTATTTTCAGGCGGGCCTCTATACATTCAACTCACTCACAATATTTGCTAATTTATTTTCAGGGCCTCTATACATTCAACTCACTCCCAATTATTGTCTTTGGTGTCTTATCTCTAGCTGGTGGGTTCCTCACTCTCCTTCTGCCTGAGACCCACAAGAGGAAACTCCCAGACACCATAGAAGAGGCAGAGGACTTGAATAATCAGAGTATAGAAGAACTACCAAAAGCTAGAGATAAAAGAAACATTAATATTAATAAAAAAGAGACCCCTTGTGATAATAACAAGGCAGATGTAGAAATGAACCTTCTGGAAGGTCTCGGAGATAGAACCAAAGGGAAACAGGAACAAACAGGGCTATCAGAACATTTATGAGACTTGATCTGGTTAGGCTTAATACATTAGTATTTATAGCTTCCTCCAATGTCTTTTTGACACTCCAAGTAAAAGGTCTGAGGTAGTGGCTTGATTAATTTTTTTGATATAATGAATTAATCATCTCTAAAATGATCTTCAGGTGTGAAAGAAAATTTTTTTCAAAAGGATAAAATGTGTTATTTATCTTTTTCTCAGTCATTTTCACTAAAGCTATTTAAAGTTTTGCCCATATTTATTTTTTTTTATGTTTAAAAATTGTTTTAGTCATAAATCAGTTAGTAGAGAGGATTAGATGCATGGGCAACCTAAACGTGAACTTGTATTTATGCGTATGCATATAGGTTTTTCTAAATGTTCCTTTTGAGCAGCAAAATAAGCAATTAATTCACCTGTCGACGAAAACGTAAAATAATGAAATAATAAGTGTCATTAACCTTTAAACTGAAAAAGATGAGATAGCCACGAATGATTGGCTGAAATTGTGAATAGTGTTTGTATCCTTTTGTTGCGATAGACTTTCGGATTTGTTTAGTCAGTATAGTAACAGTACATTCTTCAGCTCAATATATGTAAAATATGGGTGGTATCATATATTTGAACATGGCTATGGCAATCATTGCTCATAATTTATCTTAGGAAATATATGCTATTTTCCCGGGGCTAGTTTACCCATTTATTTTTAGCCATTTAAATGCATACACAAATATTTGACAGATATTCTACTTTCAAATTAAGAACATAAACATACTTTTGCTTTTTTAGTTATTTATTCATGGAACAAAACTCATGTTACTGCCAACTCGAAAAGCTAGAGTTTCGCGTTTCAATGGCCGTATGAAATGATTGAACCTGTGAAATGATTGAACCCGTGAAACAAGTACAACAATTTTATGTAATCTCAACCTCACTCACAATATCTTGTGTTCAATGCAAGATCGAAACCTAACTGACACTATTGAATTTACGTTTAATCTGCACGTCGACGGGATTATAAAACAAGTTGAACTGAAGAGTTTACATAATTTGTTGAGTGCGCATCACACTTCACATTCAGGTTTAGGTTTTCGTCTTCCAAAGGGTGAAATCTTATCCTCTCTAATATCTCTTTTTGCACTTTTGTTATTTATTTTTTGGTGTATTTTGAGCAGTAGGGCTCTAATAGTTTCACAATTTCTCGGTTACAACTAGTCTGCAAATTTCTTTTTTTTCACACATAACTTCCTCATACATCACTACAACTTTGTGCATTGTACATATTGTTTTTTCCACAATAGGTACATCATCAATTGTTGGGTATCCAAAATAGTTCCAACTAGGGGCTTTTTAAAACCTTAGAGCATCACATTATGCCAAAGTCTTCAATGTGTCACTTAAGCAAAATATAACGATGGAGGCTTTAAAATCATGTTGCAGCACTGTTTTGGTTAGTTAGCAGTTAATTTAAAAATGCTTTCTGGATGTTTTTCAAGAAACTAATGCTGATGTACATATCCAATTCTGTCACATCACAACTTATATGTTTCCTCCAAAAGTGGTGACATATTGTTATCTGAGGGTGTAATCTTTGCATACACCATAAGTGTTCAGTACACATGTATTTATTCAGTGGTCATACCTTACAGTGTTCACTTTAATATTAGATCTTCATGTTACACTATTTATTGGGTTTTTGTAGCTCTTTTTGACATTATATGGTTGATTGTTTTGTAATAATGTTTGTATTGTTAAAATGGAAACAACAATCAACAAATGGGCTTGTATTGTTATTTATTCTGAACATCCACATGTTGTGTACATGTACATGTTGTTTTGTTATTGTGTACAATCTAGTGCAAACTTTGTGTATGATGCACAACTAATATTAACATGTCATTAAGACATATTGTGTACATGTGTTTTTTTTTTGTTATTGTGTACAATCTAGTGCAAGCTTTGTGTATGATGCACAACTAATATTGACATGTGATTAAGACATATTGTGTACATGTGTTTTTTTGTTATTGTGTACAATCTAGTGCAAGCTTTGTGTATGATGCACAACTAATATTGACATGTGATTAAGACATATTGTGTACATGTGTTTTTTTGTTATTGTGTACAATCTAGTGCAAGCTTTGTGTATGATGCACAACTAATATTGACATGTGATTAAGACATATTGTGTACATGTGTTTTTTTGTTATTGTGTACAATCTAGTGCAAGCTTTGTGTTTGATGCACAACTAATATTGACATGTGATTAAGACATATTGTGTACATGTGTTTTTTGTTATTGTGTACAATCTAGTGCAAGCTTTGTGTATGATGCACAATTTTGCACAACATATGTTGACATGTGATTAAGACATATTGTGTACATGTTGTTTTGTTATTGTGTACAATCTAGTGCAAGCTTTGTGTGTTATGCACAACATATGTTGAAATGTGATTATTATGCGTACATGTGGTTTTGATATTGTGTACAATCTAGCGCATGCTTTGTGTATTGTGCACAATTCTGCACAACATATGTTGACATGTGATTTATTTAGATAAGTACAATCATCTACATATTGTGTAGATTCAAAATTTTTAGAATTGTTAATTATGATATTGCATAAGTAAAAGTTTAAAAGAAATTGCCTGTTCATTTTAATGTTGTAAAAGAAATCTGGAAATTATTTTTGCCATCAGGAAATTTCATTCAGAGAAGGTTGTTATCACATGATGGGAGATTGATACGAATATTGGTCTAAACACTCATTCTCAATATTTGATGACTAACCTTAAAGCTTACTAGTGCCATAATAATAATATAACTAAGAGCACATAATAGGTCCGACTCTAAGGGGCACTTTTGGACTTCATATATATGATATTCATGTATATACAGCTTTATTTGAAAAGATGTGTGAAGGAAACTGCTGGAGAAGTATTTGCCTTGGTTGCCTTATGCCTGGCTAGGTTCCTTATTGGTGATTTCTGAATCATGTTGTACCACCAAGGCATTGCAACATATTTGTTGCAGTCTACCATTTTTGTAACTGGCATTCAGCACCCGGGTTGCATATACCAGTGTTACACTTTTTGTAATCATTTGCAATAACTAGTGAAGTTACCTCTGAATAAGAACAATTCTCTCACTTTGTAAATGTAATTGTTTAAATGTTATGCTAATTTTTTTGTATTTCAATATATAATGTATGTTGTATATAATGTATCCTGTAAGGGTGTCTTAAAAGTATTATTAAATACAAATAATTTGGATAAATAACATCCTTATTGATTCATTTTTTTAATCAACACATCAAAGATGCAAGGGAGGCAGGGGTCACATACATCTAAAACCTCAAGGTGGAACACCTCTGTAAGTGGAACACTTCAGAGTTCCAAGATAAAATGTTAAATGAACCTCTCTATAAGTGGAACCCTTTTTAGAGGTACCAAACGTGTTCCACTTAGACAGGTTTTAATGTAATTAGAACTGGAGTTACCTGAACACTGATAAGCTATCCTCATAACTAACCTTACCTCTGATTATAACAATTCTGATCCTGATAACACTGAAGCAAATGTTATTTCAGTCAATTGGTAGAATGTGTAAAGTCATGATTATCTGAGAAGTGAGAGCGTTCTGTTTGAAAACTGGTTACATCAAAGAATTATCTTTGATGAAGTCTAGCTCTGGAATAGGAATAAAACAACATTGAAAACATATAGTTTTTAATATAAAATTATTTATTAAATAGTATTAATACAATAATATACTAGTAGTTGACAAAACACCCATATAAAATACCTTCATGAGTGCTGTGTATGCGCCTCATGTGGGATAGCCACATATGTAGCACACTACACGTATGTTCTCATAATTTACATAATAATATAACAGGTTAAGTATTTACAACTGACATATATTTCAGAGCATATTATGCACAATAATTCAATAAATTGTTACATGTATATCAAATAACACTACAATGCACAATACAATAGCATCAGATTTCTCAGTACCATATCTAGGAGAATATTTAAAAAGCTAATTTCAACAAGGCTTTCGTAACACTCTGATACAATGTCAAGATTCATTTGACCTAAATCTTGTCACATGAAATTGAATCCTTCAGTTTCCATTTCTATCATGAATTATTACTCATATTTTGTCAATTGCACATTAAAGATCATAACAAATTCAAACCTCTCATGACCAAGATTCAATTTATGGGGGGGGGGGGGGGGGTCAAACTCTCCTGAGTAAAGGGAAAAGTTTACTTGAACTTCAGTTCCCGCTTAAATGAGGATCACTGCAGTGTCATCTGGAAGTGCAATACTAATCTTTAATTTGATTTGTTTTTGATGTAATCAAAACTTACAACTCTCAGAAAACTATAGTCTACAATCTTATGAGCATTGACAACCAAATTGTAAGTTACAACAATCCAAAAATGGATCCAAGTACAGTACAGTATTCTTAAGTTAACTCCTCAAGGGTTTTCGATCAGCTTTATTACAGTACTGCATCTCACAATACATGAATATGTTAAATTACATTATTTAGAAAAATTCTATGAAAAAATATATATGCCTACTACATTTTACATGCACATATACAGACAGTTTTTATCATACAAAGCCATATAATAAACATGTACAATACATACGGTTTTACTTACAATATCACATTAAACATCATATTTTACAACTGACTTTTATCATCTTGTTTTTGTGTGTGATTTAATTTTGACAGATAAAAGTCATTAAATTCAAATGCAATGATAACTGAATAAGAATTTCAAGTTACTTTTTTATAAAATCATTTTCATAGTGCTGTAATAAATCTTTCACCAGGCTAGATCGGGCACCCTTTCTCTATACATACAGGCTAACTAACTTATGACAAGATTTTCTATGAACACGCTTTAAATGAACATATACAAAAAGGCATCCTTTAACACAAGTTCTCTGCACACAATACATCATGATTTTCAGCTCTTATTTTAAACTGATATGAAAGGAACTATCGCAATGGTCAAAACTTACATTTACATTGTTTTTTAAAATCTTGGAAGGAATGAAGACCCCATTATACTATGAGCTTGCCGAGGAATCATAGAAAATGCAAGAGGCTATATGTATAACCAGTTAGATCCCTTGTTGAGATAATGATAGTAAACACACAGTAGAATGGGATTGGGATAGTACCTGTTTTTGGAAAAAATCACTTTTTGAGCTATAACTCAGGAATTATTGCTTCAATTCACATTTTACATGTATATTCTCAAATGCCAATGAAGTTTTAGTCTTGTCACGAATTCTTTCACAAAATGGCCGCCACTTTTACCACTGAAAAGACTCACTCGAGCCAAAGAATAATTTGCATTGGTTTGCATTAAAATGTCAAAATATGTTATGTGATTACCATTGAGGTAGCGACTATCAAAGTCTGGATAAATATGACTGAAAAAATTCCAAATGACCACCACAGTTGAGGAATTATTGCTTTGATATGTGTTGAAATATAATATATATGTCATACCAATGAACGCTCATTCAACATCAACATGAAGAGGACTGCAGGACTTGATCCCGTGAGAGGTTCTTATTGGAATCCATGTAAAGAACACGCAGTGGACCATTTGGCTTGGCTGCTTTTAGCTTTAATATTGGACTATGTGTCTCTGCCATTTCAATGTTCTGTGATTTCACTGGTCTTGGTGAGTTCCCTGTAGTAAGAATTTGCTTTGCATAGGGATTATTTTTATTGTTTCTCAGCTCTATACGTATCCCTGAACCCCTGGGACTACTTTTATTTGAGTTCCGAGTTTGAGCTTCAAGATAGCTTGGTGGGTGTTGCATAGTGTTTTGAACCAGAGATCCCATCTTAGGAGCATTTGATTGGTCAGTGCTATCATGAGATGTCCTTTCATAATTATTTGTAACATTTGGCAAATGTTGGTTACTATCAAAAGAATAGGAATTATATGCTACATCATAGGAACTGTTCACAGGTTTTGCTGAGAAAACTCCATCTGTTTTACCAAATTGTTCATTTCCAACTGAACTTCCATTTTGTACAGCTCCCTGCAGCTCATTTCTATAAACTGCCCCCTGGTGAGGGTTTGTATAACTATTATGCAATGAACTCTGCTGTGAACTCTCCCATTGATCACTGCTATCAATTGAAACTGTATCTAATGAAGTTGTGTCTGGATTTATTGAGGCCCTACGTTGCATGATCTCAAAATGTTCCCGATTTAGATGGCTATATTGTTGTCTTGCGTCTGACCTCTGAGGTTCATTGGGACTACTATCTCCACTGGGAGGGCTATCATATGTATCATTTCCTAGGGGAGTGCTGGTTTTTGGGGCATATCCAGCAAGTTCAGGGGTATATGTTTTATACTGTTGGGTATATCCACTTGGTTTTTGGTCATAACTACTGGAAGTTGTATATCCACTGGGCGAAGTAAAATATCCACTGGGTGAAGTTGTGTATTCTTTTGGGGATTGTGGATATTGTTTTTGTCCCCCAGATGGCTGTGACTGATTATATCCAGAGGGTTTGGATTCAGTATATCCACTGGTAGGAATTTTTGAATATCCACTATTATTTCCTGGAGTAAATGCAAGATTTTGTGATGTTGGATTATTTCCACTAGTCTGAGATTGCATATATCCACTGAGTACAGATTGAGAATATCTACTTGTAGGTACATATCGAGAATATTGTGTACTTTGAGGATGGCCATTTCCACTGGCTTGAGATTTTGGGTAATCCGTTATTTGAGATCCGCTTGGTATAGATTGTGTATTACCACTTTGAGGTTGTGTATTACCACCTTGAGATTGTGCATTACCACTTTGATATTGTGTATTACCACCTTGAGATTGTGTATTACCACCTTGAGATTGTGTGTTACCACCTTGAGATTGTGAATAACCATTCTTTTGTTGAGATTCTGTATGCGAAGCAGTGTTAAGCACTTCATGTCTGTAATAAGGTTCTGTTGCAGATCTACCAGAATTAGGATGCTCATTTTCATTTGTTTGAGATTGGTTTAATCCAGCTGACTGATTTTGACTGCGCGATGAATTGTATCCATGTGTCTGTGATGGATCAGATCCATCTGTTTGAGAGCTTGAAAATCCAGATGTCTGAGATGTTTGATATCCATGTGTTTGTTTTTCATTTTGTTCAGTTTGCATCTGATTTGCATTATTACTGTCAGTTTTTGCAACTGTTTTACGTTGAGCATATCGTATATTATAAGATAACTGGGGAGATTTTTGTTCACTGTCACTTGTTAAAGACCCCTGGGATGAAGTAAATGAACTATCACTGAGTTTATATGAGCTAGTATCACTGTGGCTTATTGCTGTTGTGTTATGGGATCCTCCAAACTTAAATGTTACTTGCTTAGGTTTAGGGGCGATCATTGGTTTTTCTTTTGGTTTATATGGCGGGGGTGGTCCACGACGCGACCAATCCCCTTCCTCCGTTGTGGTTGAGGAGAAACTGCTGTATGGAGACTTTCTGCCATTTGGTAACTTTTGAGGAGTTTTTTGAAAGTGTCCATGATTAGTTTGAGGAGATGAGGGTTCTGCAGCACGTGGTACTAGTGGTGATGAAGGATTTGTAGATGGGGTGTTGCTACTGCTGTTGCTATGGTTACTAAAGAATGTGCTAAATGTGGCTTTGTGGCTCGGGGAACTGTAAGATTCATACACTGCAGCGCCATCTGTGTTTAATATTACACATGCAGTTTTCTCAATTGAGTCAGCTTCTATGGTTGGATTACCAAGTGGAGCATTTTCTTGAGTTGTAGGTACATCTGGAGAGTCAACTGAAGATTTGTCAGGTGTTTGGTTATTTGAATCTTTACGGAGAATAGCAGCAATTCTTTGAGCCACAGATCCTGTTCCACCTCTAGAGGATCCTACTGATCCCTTCGATGATGTCAAAGAACCTCGCGATGAACCACTCCAAGATCTTGTCCTCATACCCTCATTTTCATTCTTACTAGCATCACTCTCAGAGACCTTAGATTCGGAATTGCCTAAGCCCAGTCTCTCAGTTGCTGATTCTCCAGCCCCCAAAGATACACTCCTTTGTTTGGTGCCATTCCCAATTATTGGTTTCACAACTAGGTCTGGAGTACTGGTTGGTTCATGTGCACCTGCAGGGAGTTTGCTAGACTCATCAGTAGAGCTTACACTCACTCTCCTTGCAGATATCTGTTGTTCACTCATCTTCTGCATTAATGTATTCAGCACCTGTGGGTCCAAATGTTTTGGTTTCACCTCGGTGAAGATTTCATCATCTCGTGTCATATCAAGTGATGTATTTAGTGACCCAGCAGGCATAGGAGTTGTGGTACGTGATGATTCATTCTCTGATGTTGACATGATGGTTGGTAGGAAACTTGTTGCTTGTGTGTCCTCCATTGCAAGGTGCTGCATATACTCCAGTGCTTGGCGCTGTTTGTGTGTCTCTGCAAGTACTCTAGCAGCAATAGCCTGTGGGTGAGTGAGGGGGTTGGTACTACTACTAGGGTTGCTTTTTGGTACCTTGAGGGGAAGCTCTACGGAAGATTCTGAATCAGTACGAGTAACTGAGGGTGTTGTGTTTGGATGAAACTTGACCTGTCTTGTAGATTTCTGTCGTTCTGTTGAACGATCACTGCGCTGGGATCGCTCGCTCCTTGATGATCTGTCACTACTTTTTGATCTCAGACTGGATTGAGATTTATCACTACGCTGTGAACGATCACTGCTTTTTGAGCGATTACTTGTAATAGAGCGATCACTTCTGGCTGAACGATCACTTCGGATTGAACGATCACTTTTAGCTGACCGATCACTTTTATGTGACCATATACTGAGATTATCATCAAAGTCAAACTGTTCTGTAAGTGTTCGATCACTGGCACTACTTTTTGCTGAGCCTATTGAGCTGCGTGATCTTGACCTACGCATTCCTCCACCTGTGCCGGTACTTTTTGCAGTGAGTGTACTACTTGATGAGTTGGCAGACATTGCTGAGAGGCGGTATTGTGACATCCGTGTAAGGGCTTCTGTTCCATATTCATCAGACTCTGATGGAGATGATGTGGAATATGTTGGTGTAGGCTGTGCAGGAAAATAACCTTTCAACGGACCTCTCTCATATAAACTTTGCCGTTTATACCCAACTTGGTCGAGGTTTGGATTTGATGAGCTTGAGTCATTTGTTGAAGAATCCTGCATGTCAATGCTAATCACTCTTGGACCATCATCACTGTAGTTTAATCCATGATATGAGGAACTACGTGTAGGTGATGTAGTATCTGAACCTGAACTACTTCTCACCATGGTGCGTATCTTACTTTGGTGGTCTAGTTGGAGAGACAGAGTTGAGGAGCCTGAACCAGCACGTGCTGGTTGCCCTGGTAACCCACGACCAACAAATCCAGCCTGCAACAACAAACATATTTAGTTAATAGCAACTAGCCTGACAATGCTATGTCAATTGATTACTCTTAAACATCCATTGCTCTGAGTGTCCTAAGACCCCATTTATGATAGAGATATAGTTGTTGCTATTGATAACCAAATGTTAATAATTCCATACCTGTTTCATATGTGACATTCTATAATCCACGTCATTGGGGTTAAACACACGTTTCCTAGCATATGGGGATCCTGGAGGTGAACTTCCCTTGGAGAAGTTTGAGGTTGATGTACCTGTACCACTAGATGTTAATGACTCCATAGAACTTGAACTATCCAATGTCAGTGCCCTTGGAGCCTCTTGTGTATCTGAAATAAGCAGTGAAAATGTCAAAATAGTGAAAAACAGGGAAAAGTGCTTGAATCTCAATTGGATTCTAGATCATTTTTCATAATATTCAAAATCTACATTAAATCCAGGTACAATTTCAATGCTGGGCATGTCACTTTGGTACTCACCAAAGACTGCTGTAAGGGCTTGTATAGCAAACTGCAGAATACGTTTACTGGCCTGCTTGCCTGTCCTAAGCCTCACCTGGAATTAACACAAACATACTTAGAATATTACTCCAAAACAAGGAAGCAATTGACACTAATCAAAATAAATAAAAGAGTATAGGGCACCTCTGAAAGCATTTCAGATGAACATTGTATTTTATTATATTACATTTTTGTATATTATCTTTTATGTAAACTATTAATTAGGAGACCCTACAGGAGGCCTGACCAAAGTTCAAAAAAATCCTCTACACATTCCCAGGAGTTTTTGAGATTTGACCTATGTTTGACCTTCGAAAGGTAAAAAAAGGTGATTTTTCAAATTGATTTTTTTTATTCAAATTTAGGTATATTTAATAACAAAAGACCTACTGAGGTAAAAAAAGCTAAATTCAAATTAAAGTTCAAGACTACATATTAAATTTTATTGAAAGTCTGGATATATATTCCTATAAAGGTACTCCAGATATTAGCAATTGACTATCTATTTAGATTTTGCATCAGTTTTGAGATATAAGAGTTCAAAAATAGAAAAAGGTCAAATTTAAAACTTGCTCTAAAATGAACAAATCTTTTTTTGAATGTCACCTACAAGTTGCCATGAGTTCATAAATGATCTTTAATTTGATATTTAATCTTTGGTTGACCTTCAAATTGTCAAAAACACCTATGGAGCCTTCTTAAAATTGCTTGCAATCTTGATGTCTAGTTAATAAATCAATACATACCCCTTCTTTACCAATGTCAACCAGGTCAAATCCTAGAGATGCTAGTAGCTCATGGCTTCCTGGTATCTTCCATAGTTTTGTACTAACAGGGACCTCAATGTTGTTGTCCTTCTGGGTGTACTTGGTATTCACTTCTCGTAACTGAAATAATATCATTTTGTCTACAAACTGATTCAAACAAAAATGTTTTACTGTAAAATTGTAATAGCATTTGAATTATGAGCATGTTTTGAGGCAATATTGTTTTAGAAATAAACTAATAAATTAACAGATGTGATGACATGGTGTATTCTGCATTTTAAATAATTAAATCTCAATTCAAAAATGAGACAGTAAATTCAGCTGAATCTTTGGTCGAAGTGACTTTATTCGACTTTTATTCTGGTAAGACAAATGAATAAAAAGAAATGATATCATATGTAGTTACCATGGATATGATCATTTCCCCAGCTTCAAAGTGGCTCAGAAGTTTGGACAAAGCCATCAATGAGGTGGCTGATAGACCTGGAAACAAAAAACAAGATATTCATGGAAAAATGTGATAATTTCTACATTGTTTACAACATGAAACCTCTCAAAGATGAACACTTGTAATGTTCATCTAAAAGAGTCTATACTAAAAGTAATTTTTGATCCAATAATTATGTGATGAAATTATGTATCTATCTAGACATTATTAACTATCAACAATTTCATGTCAGATATATGATATTTTACACAAGACATGATGACTAACCAAGCATAGCCTGAAGACTAGCACTACATTGCGTTAATCTGTCACCAGGGTCAGTTGTCGGGAAGAACACTGCTTCTGGAGTCTTCCCATTGGCTGGCTCAAACCGGAACCCAACAGATATAAGAAGTTCTTTCCATCCTTGTGCAGCTCCCACCTAAGTGATAACATGTTATATTCTTAGTACTATGCAATTGATTATTGATAGTAATTACTGTTGAAATGTTTTAGTACATACTGAATGCATATCTCTATATTTAAAGCCAGAATCAGGGCTATAGGGGCTGACAATATTGCAAACAATATATACAACTGACCGATCAATCTTTACAATCTCAAATATAATATCTCCGAAATGATCCATGCTATGTTATCAATTGGTGAAGTTATCTCAGATTACACAAATTGCCACACATTCTCCCAAATGACAAGAGTAGTGATCACATTTATAGAGAAATGGAACACATTATTGTAAAAAGCTCAAGTTCTCCTCAAAGAAAGCATGGGGATTTTCAGGAAATTGTCATGCAAATGTATGATATGAGCCCAAAATATTCTAAATTCGAGGCAATTCTTATTCAGGTTACTCGCTAGATCTTCTACTACCTTTAAAATTATGTTTTTTCCTTTTATCTATACTATTAACTATAGCTTGCGTGCAATGTATTGTTCAAATACAACTAACTTACCTTATTTTCAATGCTCTGAGCAGTTGTGTACATAGAGTTACGCTGACCTTTCTGTATTCGTTGTAGAGACTTCTCAATCTGTAGATAGATGGCACATTTATTATTTCATTTTTTATATAGTCATTTCACACTTGGATTAAAATTCACTGCACACATAAACAAAATGTGTGTCTACATTCAAGTACATTACTTAGATGTTCATGTGTCATGTTTGTTTTTTGTTTTTTAAATCACCAGTTGTCCATTCACGTCTCTATAGCGTCTACAATTACATACCAGGTTGTTCAATAAGTTCATGCAAAATCATTTTCATTTCTTTATTTTTCAATGTTTTTCCTTGAAACTTTCACAAAACATAGAAAAAGTATCTACTCATTGAAAAACAAAAAATAAATTACTTTGTTTTGCTTGGTCAAAAGTTATTGTTGCTATGGTAACCCGTGTTTTGGTCACGCGGGGCAATTTATGACGCGAAAAAAGTTCAATTTTAATTAAACTCTTGTGAATCGTAAGTTGCACATGTACACACTATAAAACATTGTCTTTTCAAATTGAAGGTTCCTACCAAACATGTCACTTCATTGAATGCCCAAAATATTCCCCTTTATACTGGATGCATACATGTTGTACCTGGTGCTTCACCCATTCTTCATATTGAGCCATAAAATAACAAGGGAACTTAGTGCGCAAGGCACTCTGGGCAGCTGCAGTGAGCTCTGTCATGCCAGCATATCAAACACCTCTCAGTTCATTATTCATCTTATTGAACACCCCAAGTCCAATTAATACAGCCTCATTGGGGAATATGCACCCTGGTCTAAAACTCCCATCTGTAGGGTATCCCGGATAGTATCCTGAACCATATTTGCTCGATGGCATGGGACATTGTCTTGGTGAAATAATTTGAAGGGGGTAATTTTAGGCCGTTTCTTTTGTAGAGCTCGCTCCGGGCGGAACTTGCTTAAGGTGGTGTTTAAGAAATAAACTATGATGATATTACAATACAAATGTAATTATGATGTAATACAACATGTAAGTTGCTACCATTGCAACAATAGCTGTTTTATTCAAAATTGAAGAATAATGTGTTTGCATTAATAACCTTCTCCAAACTTTAGATTTGGGATTCGCAGATAAAAAAATATTGCCCCGCGTGACCAAAACATAGGTTACCATAGCAACCATAACATTTGACCAATCAAAATAAAGTAAATTATTTTTTTGATTTTTAATGAGTATATATTTTTTCTATGTTGTGTGAAAGTTTCAAGGAAAAAAATTGAAAAATAAAAAAATGAGAATGTTTTTGCATGAACTTATTGAACGACCTGGTACATCTTAAGTTTATGAAACATTCACACCTAAATGTATGAATGTCACAATGTATTTTTTTTAAACTAAGACCAGCAAATAAATTGAAAACAACCTTGAATAAGATTTTGTAAATACTCACAAGATGGAGTACCACTCGCATGGCCTCTCTGCATTTTCCAGGCATCTGTAGCAACTCACACAATGCTTGGCCCATCAGGACAACCTAAAATATACACCCTCAATTTTCATTTAGGGATCAAGGTGTAGGCAAATGTTTGCAAGTAAACTTTCATACTGGAACTGTTTCGTGGTAATAATCTAATATTTCATGCATTTCCTATTTTCCTCCAATTATTGTAAATGTATTACACAAAAGAATTTAATGAAACACATCCGTGTACATATCTTATAAAACAGATATACATAGGGCAAAGATGAATGAATATTAAATAATGATAATGATAAAAATAAGAAGTCTTCAACTTTACAGGCAAGAATCCATCTAAATATTGTCATACCTTACTGTTCAGCTTTACATCACTACCAATTAACAACCAACCAGCCCAGTTGGATGAATGGGCAAACTGTTTTGTACTCTTCACTGTTGTCATTGCTCTACTTAATGCATGGCTAGCTTTCCCACCCTGTAGCAATGCTGTGTAGAATGACTTCAAGAGAATCTTTGAGGCCATGTCTGGCACAGGCCAGAGTGAGAATAACACCCCCTGTGCCCCTGCAGCTAGGAATGCACGGGTGAGGCCAATGACTCCATCGGAGTTGATTCGCCCAGCTCGGTCGTCAGTGTGCCCTGAGCTAAGAACAACAAGTTTTGCTTTGAGATTAAGATTCAAGATGTCAGCTGCAGTCAACAGAAAGTCAGAAAGTGAGGGGCCTCCATTTTCTATTCCAGGTTCTGAGTCATCATTGGCATCAGCCATGCGGTCAATACGTAGCGAAGGTTTGTCTTGTGAGGCACTTCCAGGTGAAAGCACAATTGAGGATAGTTTCCATGAAACATAGGCTGCTATATGAATAACCTCAGCTGATGCAACATCAGATAGGACAGCTTCCCTAGTTGCATTGATACCAAATAAGGCCTTACTCCCAAGCATTTCGCTTACCATACGGCATTCATGTTCTGTCTGTGGGAGATCTGTCCACTGCCAACGTTCACGCACTCCTTGTGTCATTTTAGGGTTTCCAACAATGACTGCTCCTGAACATTCCTGATTATTGGAATTCATGGCTTGTGATTGGCTGGCTTGTAAGGCTCGTATGGAAGGCACAGCAATCATATGAAATCGTTCATACAAACTGTCCCCCGCCTGACTTGGCTTCAGCACAGCAAAGGGCACTAAGTATAAATCACCTTGAAGCACCAAAACAAGTTCTTTGGGCATACTTGCAGAGTTCAAAAGTTCATCCATTGGTGCAATTAACAGATCATAGAGGGCACTCAATGGTGGTTTGTTGCTATAGGAACCACTACCGCTGCGTCGTGCCGATCGTAGACTCATGCTGTTAGTGCTACTAGAGAGACTGAACAAACTACTCAAACTGTAGTTACTGCTATTGAAGACATGGTTTCTGTTTAGAAGACGGAGGAATCCTGTGCGATCATTTTCGGCATTTAGTTTATCCCCAATTTCCTCCAATTGCTGCTGCCAGATATCATCAGCCTCACTTTCAGTTTCACTAAGTGTCCCCAAAGATGATCTGTTCAAAGATGCTCTGCAAGAAATATAGGGATATAGAAATTATTCCATAGGAAGAATATAATGTCTAGTATTTTCCAGGATATTCCGTTGATAAGATGGCCCAAGATTAACCATATTTATGATCATGTTCTATGTATTTAAAACCATATCTCAACATAAAAGTTGCACATTTTTATAAAATACGATATTTGGAAGTTATCACCTCCAAATGAAATTCTAGATTTCAATATCTTCGCTCTTTTACACTTGTGAACTTGACAAGGTGTTTGACCTGCCCTTAAAATAATTTTGAATTCTCACCTTGAGTTATAAATACTAGATGTGGTATGTGACTCTATTCCCATAGATTCCCTTACATGGCCAACATATTGATCCAACAAGGATGCAGTTGTGCTGTGTATGCTTTGATTATCTGCCTCTGGGTCACTGCTGTCCAGTTCATTAATGCTGCACTCGTGAAATTTCACAACACCTGAAAATGTCATAGCCATGTTTTAATTGTCACAAGATAAAAAATTTCAACAAGTGCTCCACTAGTTATAGTAAAAATGTAAAATAACACTCGTAAAAATGGAGGCCACTTTTCAAAATGATCTTCATAAGACAGTGTACTCTGCTTTTGAGAATTTTATTTCAAATATAGTCATATTTGAATACCAAACTTTGTTCAATAGGATAATCAATAAAAAAAGGAAGTAAAATTTAGTATAGTTTATCCAACATTTTAAATATTGAATAATTCTTAATGTTCTACAACCTAACAAAAAATCATAATATATTTTGATCAATGATAAATACCTTGCTCAGGTGTGATCAACCATGTATACAAATATCCTGCAGCTATTGAATAATACAACACTGCAGCCTTTTGGCGAGCCACCACATCTACAATTTGATCTATGGTCATCGGAGATGGGTCCACAAAGTTTGAAAAATCAGCACCCGATTGACGCTCAAGTAAAAGATCAACAAATGCTCTAGTACGCCCTCTTTCTGCAACAACTAGCCCTTCTTCGTGACGATTTAGGGATACTAGGACTCTCTAGAAAAAAAAACAATTTAATAAATCAGCACTGTCTGCATCAAGATATTCAGATATAGGATTTCCAATATATAGATGGAAAAGAAAACAAAACAAGAACATATCCCCATCTTGGCAAACATCATAAAGGTGATATCTCATATAATTCACACTAAATTCTACATAATGTCATCGTCTATATTGTAAACCTCTTCCAAAATGCAATAATAACATTTCTATAATATTCATTTTCAGACCAAGTATTTAGTCCAACGATGGACTATGGAGAGTTTAAGCTAGCAATGTTTTTCACAATGTAACCATGAATTCAAAGTCAATGAATCAATACAGTAATGTGTATAGAATGCATTCAAAACAAGCACTTCTTAGTCTACTTCAGATACCTGATCAGCTTCAGTTTCATGTTTAGAACAGGAGATTCTCAATTTCACGTTGGTGTCAACTGGAATCATTATACTCATTATGTCTATTGAATACTATGCTGGCAATTTTGACTCTGATGCACAGTATAATGCTATAATGCTCGTATAATGCTTTCTGAAGAAAATGATGCCATACATGTTTTTGCTCCAAATATCTTATGAAACGAGCTTGTTGAAAATATGTATCATAGAAAACCAGCTATATTACTACCAATGGAATATTACATGATAATGTGTAGTCTAAGTAACGGCCTAAGTAAACACTGTAACCGAACGATTGTTTATGTGAGAAAACTACATGCATTTTTATAGGGCGATTTATACGTACAGGTTGACATTTCAATTTAATATGCATTGCTTAAAGTCTCTAATACCTAGTGTAAAATACAGGGTTATTGACATACCTGTAATGCCTGGTATGAAGCTGTCTGCAAGTCAAATAAGGAGAGTTTGTAGTCACTACTGATCTGGACTTCGCGTCGTATCAACTCAAACAGCTCTGTGGCACGATAGAGTTGTGTCTGGGCTTCTTCTAGATCCCCTCTACCCCAAAGGGCAAGACCTAAAATGTAGGTAACAATAACATCAGTGTATATAACAATTTTAAATCAGTTAATCTATCAAGCCATTCTTTGAAAATTACCATAAAAAGTGAGACACAACATTTTACTTTTTTTTTAGGAATGATGATCAAAACTAAATGATTCTTACCAAGTCTATGGCATATCTTAGCCTCATCCTCCTTTCTACCAAGCTGCTCTGCTATCTGGAGACCTTGCTGAAGGTATTGGACTGCCTTGGAGTAATGCCCTGTCAAGAGAAATAGAAACATGTTATAAGGAGAACAACAGACCCAGGAACTCTTAAACAAAGGTTTCTGGTAATGATATGCAGACTTCTAAAAGCAAAGAACCTTACCCAATGCATGATTCACTCTCCCTAGACTGCTATAGGCCAGTGTAAAGGTAAGGAGCCTTACCCAATGCATGATGCAATCTCCCTAGACTGCTATAGGCCAGTGTAAAAGCAAAAAGCCTTACCCAATGCATGATGCACTCTCCCTAGACTGCTATAGGCCAGTGTAAAAGTAAAGAGCCTTACCCAATGCATGATGCACTCTCCCTAGACTGCTATAGGCCAGTGTAAAAGCAAAAAGCCTTACCCAATGCATGATGCACTCTCCCTAGACTGCTATAGGCCAGTGTAAAAGTAAAGAGCCTTACCCAATGCATGATGCACTCTCCCTAGACTGCTATAGGCCAGTGTAAAAGCAAAGAGCCTTACCTAATGCATGATGCACTCTCCCTAGACTGCTATAGGCCAGTGTAAAAGCAAAAAGCCTTACCCAATGCATGATGCACTCTCCCTAGACTGCTATAGGCCAGTGTAAAAGTAAAGAGCCTTACCCAATGCATGATGCACTCTCCCTAGACTGCTATAGGCCAGTGTAAAAGCAAAAAGCCTTACCCAATGCATGATGCACTCTCCCTAGACTGCTATAGGCCAGTGTAAAAGTAAAGAGCCTTACCCAATGCATGATGCACTCTCCCTAGACTGCTATAGGCCAGTGTAAAAGCAAAGAGCCTTACCTAATGCATGATGCACTCTCCCTAGACTGCTATAGGCCAGTGTAAAAGCAAAAAGCCTTACCCAATGCATGATGCACTCTCCCTAGACTGCTATAGGCCAGTGTAAAAGTAAAGAGCCTTACCCAATGCATGATGCACTCTCCCTAGACTGCTATAGGCCAGTGTAAAAGCAAAGAGCCTTACCTAATGCATGATGCACTCTCCCTAGACTGCTATAGGCCAGTGTAAAAGCAAAGAGCCTTACCTAATGCATGATGCACTCTCCCTAGACTGCTATAGGCCAGTGTAAAAGCAAAAAGCCTTACCTAATGCATGATGCACTCTCCCTAGACTGCTATAGGCCAGTGTAAAAGCAAAGAGCCTTACCTAATGCATGATGCACTCTCCCTAGACTGCTATAGGCCAGTGTAAAAGCAAAGAGCCTTACCTAATGCATGATGCACTCTCCCTAGACTGCTATAGGCCAGTGTAAAAGCAAAGAGCCTTACCTAATGCATGATGCACTCTCCCTAGACTGCTATAGGCCAGTGTAAAAGCAAAGAGCCTTACCTAATGCATGATGCACTCTCCCTAGACTGCTATAGGCCAGTGTAAAAGCAAAGAGCCTTACCTAATGCATGATGCACTCTCCCTAAACTGCTATAGGCCAGTGTAAAAGCAAAGAGCCTTACCTAATGCATGATGCACTCTCCCTAAACTGCTATAGGCCAGTGTCTTGGCAGCTCTGTCATTCATCTTGGCACCAATGTTCAGATGTAACTCCTGATAATGCACTGCTTTCTCAAAGTCACCTACACTTTCATAGGACAATCCTAGGTTACCATAAGCCCGACCTAAGAGGGAACATATACACATAAGTATGGAATTCAAGCATTTCCATAACAATAGATATAAAAAGAACATTGTAGTTTAAAATTTAATGTAATATTAATTTCATGAGTTTGTGCAAAGTTTAAGAGGAATAAGATATGAATCTTGACACCTTGCTAACTACAGAGGATGTTCATCTACCTGTATATTATCAGGATATCCCAACATTTATCACTGGAATTCCAAAGAATTTTAAGATAAAAGATATATACAGTACTTACACATGCTTGCATTGTTGTTTGTTTGTTCAGCAATTTCTAGATCTTTCTTGTGGTACTCAGCAGCCTGGTCGTATTCCCCCATCTGCTGGTATACACCCCCTAGACCACATGCTGCATCCCCTTCACCTGTACGATCCTTCATTTCCTGTGCAATGTTCATCTGGTGCTCAAGACATGATATTGCTTGCTCAAAGTTGCCTATGGAATAAAACCAATGTATCGTATACCTACACACCCCTTAAACTGCATTTCACATATATACATAGATGGTATGTAGTACTAATTAAATTTCTAGTAAGATCTTTGACTAGCATTCAGGGGCTTGCTCAAAGTTACTAATAAATCGAATAGAAAATGAAATTGCATACATCTTAATTAAAACTATGCTAAATGTAAAGTATATTTACCTAGAAGACTGTGCAAACAACCTAATTCACCATAAGCTGATCCTTTGGCTGTAGCATCCTCCAACTCATGGGCAATGTACAACCTCTTCTCAAAACACACCAAGGCCTGCTGAAGATTCCCCATTGCCCTGTGTGCATTCCCTAGTCCTCTATAAGCCCTATCCTGTCCTGGTACATTATTTGCTTTTTGCACAATTGAGAGATTTTGTTCGTGGCACTTCACAGCTTCTTCAAAATCTCCCAATGCTTCGTAACAGTCTCCTAAGTTACAGAAGGCATGTCCTCGATCTGTTAACGCCTTGTTACCAGAGACCTGCTCTAGCATTGCTAATTGCTGCTCAAATAACCCAATAGCATCTTCAAACAATCCCAGGTTCATTTTTGCAATGCCAAGATTCCCATACGCATGTGATACAACACTGCTATCTGAGAGCTCTTGTCCACGCTCTAATTGTTCATCATAGCACTTATAGGCATTGATGTAATTCCCAATGGCCATATGGACATTACCAAGGTTACTATGAGCACGACATTCACCTTTCAGATCACTTACTTCCTGTCGCAGTGTCAGTTCCTGAGTATGGAACCCCAATGCCTTGTCATGTTGCTCCGTTAATCGATGTGCATTCCCAAGTGCTCCATATGCAGATGCCTCCAGAGCACGTTCATTGGTTTGTTTGGCGATTTGCAATTGTTGGTTGAATAACTTAATGGCTTCCTCAACTTTACCAATTTTGATTAGCACATCTCCAATATTTCCAAGTGCTCTAAATTTTCCTTGGAGATTCCTTAATGTATGAGATATCCCGAGAAAATGTTTTTGACACTCCATTGCTTGTTCATGATTCCCCAATGCTTTATGTGCTAGCCCTAGATTACAATAGGCCTTTCCCATATTGGGCTGATCCTTATGTTCTTTGGCTAGTGCTAGATCCTGTTCATAATATCGACAGGCCTCACGATAATTCCCGAGGCAGAAATGGGCGTGTCCTAAACTATGACAAGCTTTTGATTCACCCTTAGTGTCCAGCAGTTCCTGAGTAAGTATAAGGTATTGCTCATAGTAAGGAATAGCATGGGTAAATTCTCCCTTTGAGCTGTGGTAATTGCCAAGGTTACTCAAAGCCCTTGCTTCACTGTTAGTGTCTTTTAGTTCCTGGGCTATATTCAAGTGTTCCTTATAATGACTCATAGCCATGTCATGGACGTGGAGTGCTTGGTATGCAACTGCAAGGTTGCCATGTGTAGATGCTTCGGAATGTTTATCACAAACTTCTTTTGAGATAGCTAGCTCATGCTTATGATATTGTATAGCTAAATCATATTGTTTTAAGGCACTGTATGCATTCCCAATGTTCCCATATGCTCTACCCTGACCTGCGCGATCGTTTATATCCTTGGCAATATGTAAATGAGCTTTATGGAGTTTTAATGCTGCATCACATTCACTTAACTGATGGTAGATGATCCCCATATTTGAACATGCACGTCCTTCTGCTGCTTTATCATGAGTCTGTAACGCATTATCCAATTGCTTTTCATGATAGTCCTTAGCAGCTGTTAAGTCTCCTTGGTTACGAGCTGCATGGCCCAATCCAGCAAAAGCTCTTGCTTCAAGTGTTTTATCTTTTGTTTCTTGAGCAATGATGAGCACTTGCTTATGGTGCTTTATAGCTGCATCATATGCTCTTTTATAATGATACGCACTTCCTAGGTTACTATAAGCCCTTGCCTCTTCAACCTTGTTTTTTATCTGTTTAGCAATTTTTAAATGTTCCTCATGACATTCTACTGCATTCTCAAATTCACCCATTGCAAGGTATACTGCACCAACATTACCAATTTCCCGTGCTTCCCAGAGCTTGTCTCCACCTTGCTTAACAAGCAGTACACATTGTTTATGACTGGCCAGGGAGTTTGGGTAATCACCTAAAGCAGTGTAAACATGACCCAGGCTACTGAGGGCCTCCGCTGCTGTTTCCCGTAGCTTCAACCTCATTCCCAAAACTAACTGGTACCTATGATTGGTTAAGGCCTCCCTGTAGCTACCCTTAGAGAAGTATGATGCCCCCAGGTTACCATGGGCACGGCATTCACCTTCTTGGTCACCTAGAAACCAAAGAATGCTTTTCATTTCATGAACTACAACAATTAGTTATTTCTGCATTTTGTTACATGTATCGAAACAGGACAATGCATGTACATAGAACTAAAAATGAAACGGTTTATTTTACCAAATATGGAAAATCCTTTTAACAAACACAAAATTCATTTTTTACAAGAACAACATATCAAATAAAATGATTATTTTGTTAAACACAAAAGTTTATCCTTATAGCAGAGATTCCCCAATGTAGTCTCAAACATGATGATTGTGAATTGATAAACGAACACACATAAGAAATACTATGAGAAAGGAACATTATGGTCATTTATCAAAACAGCATTTTATAAATGCATCACAAATTTCCAACTCATAAGATATGGGTATATGGTTGGGGGTACCTACCTAATGACTTGCACACTGCCAGGTCACGCTGCATACAAGCAATAGCTTTGTCTATGTTCCCTAGTGCCCAATGAGCACTACTTAACGCAGAGAACACAGATCCACGCAATTTCAAACTACATGTCCCAATTTTTAATGCAGATTCAAGAAGTACCAGTGCTGCAGCGTAATATCCAGCTGCAAGGAGTTCCTGACCAATCACAGAGATGATAACAAATGGACTCTTGTCAAGCTTCATCTGTCGCAGCTGCTGATAGGTTGGCTGTATTTTTTCTGAAAATTAATCAATATGAATTAAAGATTTATGTCTTATAAATTACATATTCATGGATAAGCTGGTATTAGGTGCAAGCCACAAAAGCAGACAAATGTAATCATTTTTAAGAACTAATATATTCGTAAAATAAGTGTATTTCAAAAAACAGGAGACAAATTACACTCTGCAGATGGTTAAATTTGCCACCCACCCAGACCCACCACCTTCAAATGAAAGGGCTGGTAAAGGTTAAAGACGTAACTGGCTATCAGGGAAAACAACATCAATATACCTTTTATGGGGGACTTCAGTGCACTGTCTATAAGCCCTGATAACAACTGCCCACTCTTTGCATCCTGGGATAACCCTGAAGCAAAGGCCGCCAGAGCATCTGCGTGTCGACCCAAACATTCTAGTGCTACTCCCTGGCGATAATAGGCCTGAAAGTACAGGAATAATAAATATTTAGTATGAACATTTAGTGATACTGTATATGCAATATATAGAGGTTATTTAATGGGAGGGACTGAATATGAATTTTATTCCGAGGGAAAATATGATATTGGCCAAGGAAATATCAAATAGACTAAGGGCGATAGAGCTCTAATGTTATGACACTAACAGGAAAGTAAAATTCCAATTTGTTTTGTTCTAAAGTATTTATGAAGCCATGCCATGTGTTAAGTGTAGCAGCATGAATTCTTAACAATCCATTGTTTCCTGAAGGGTATCCCAGTTCTGCAGATCAATTAACATATAACCATTCAGCATCATGTATGGCATTCTTTTCACCCAAAGGATGACAGATATCTGGTATGATGTTCCAATGAATAAGAACTCAAAATAGCAGCTACATAATATTTCGAAATTCATATACGAGTGCAATGGTTTGAAAAAATGCATTCTAAATGAATTAATAATGAAAAACATTTTACAACTTGATTCTAAACAATAGCTGAAACCCCTTGCATCCAATCAATAGAGCATTTTAATCTGAACTACTTCAAAGTAATCTTTTATTTCTTGCTCAGTGGTAGATTAATTGTAGTGTTATTGATAGGTCGTGGGTTCAACTCTCACAGGGATGGGTGTAGGTTTCACCATATCCCATAGAAATAAGTGAAAACAAGGTATGTTGTAAGAGTTTGCAGGTGTAGAATGTTTCAGTATGAGTGTCTGAACACCTCTATTTTACTAATCATAAAATAAGTGAATTGCAAACATTCAATAAGTAAATGCAGTCTATAAATAACACCTCTCCAAAAGAAATACCTCTTTAAACACCTAACTTTCTAAAATGAAGATACTTTTCTTAGGGAACCTCTCTTGATTATGTTATCAGATCTAAAATTAATATATTTCAAGAAAACATGTCTCAAAAGTGAAAATTTGAACACCTATTAACATAACAAGCTCAGAGTGACATTTTACAATTAAGTTCTTAATAATAGCTAAAGCATATAAATATGTTCAAGTGATTGCTATTATAGTAACCATTTAAAAGTGCATATAAGGAACTAACAGCCATTGTTGAAGAATTCTCAAAAAGCAGAGAAAGATTCATGAAAAAGCACGATCTTGAATGCTGATCAATTAAAGATCAATTAAAATGTTTTACAACTGCAGACTAATTCACTTTTCATTCAGAACATAATACTTTGTTTTGACTGAGTCCTAAGAAACATCACATTATCACGACTTTCCTTATTTTTAAAGAATTAACTTGGAACACAAATAATATCTCATTTTGTTGCAAATGATTATTTATAAATTTTTTATAATCATTCAATCAATTTCTTTTCAATTAGAGACTATTTGATTCTTTGGTTGTGACTAAAAATGTGGAACAATTATTATTTCATTATTTAGAATGATTTAGAATTATAACAAATAGTGCCAGAACAGATAATTGTTCAGTCCTTACCACTATTCAAAATAATTTGTAAGAAATGCTACAGATCTGATCAATTCAATCTATATTTCTAATAAAAGATTTTTATCTTCTGGAAAGTTATACCAAAGTGAAATAAAAACAAAATTGTAAACCAGACTTGTATTTCTTAGACATTTTTATTTTTTATTTTAAACAAGATGTGTATTTTGAGATCAAGTGAGAAAAATCAGAAGTTTATCATTTGTACATGACATATATTGTCAATTCACTTCAATAGCAATGTTGGATCTTGTGCTTTTATTTGATACTTAGATGTTTTTATAGCAATTTAATTGAATTTATGACAAAAATTAATGCTAAGAGTCAACATAAAAAGTCCAGTTTGTAAAAAACTTGACTAAAAGCTTCGATAAAAATGAAGTACTAGTTTATTATTATATTATGGGTTGACCATTTCTATAGTGGTTAGCAAGCCTTTTATTTCATTCTTACTGATTCTGGTTATTGCAATCACAAATCATCATAGAATCCGAAGTAAGTATTCAAGATATAAAGACAATTGCTACAATCATCATGAGCTACTTCTAATACAACCAGAGTTTAAAATAACCCAGGCATCATCATGACACATATATGCACAGTATGGCCATGGGGGTGGAGTAAGACCAGAGGGGGGGGGGGGTAGGGGGGGGGGGTAGGGGGATGTGGAGAGATTTATAAAGATGAGAGATGGAACTGGCAAATTCAAGAACAAATTTTATAAACAGCTCTCATTTTCCATTGAAATTGAATTGAACTATTGAATATTTGCTCTTGTTTTATGATTGCCCTCTACACGTACGGATGGCATAAATTAAATAATATTATCATTGTTTAGAAATGATGATGTTGATCTCAAATAAGAAAACATGTGCTCATGATTGTTTATTTATTTATAGTGGTCAGTCTTACAATTCAATTATTATTTTCTGGGATCATAGGGATTTTTACCCTTTGCATTCGTTCAACTTCACTTCTTTGTCTTCACTCTTTCAGTTTACAATAAAATCTCTGATCTCACCTAGCAAATCAGAGTTCGTCATCGAAATACGAAAGACTTTCTATATGGTCATTTCCTCTGATATCCACGCAAAGTTAATGAGCACGTTTTTAGCATGTGTTCCTTCCACTTCGCTGATTGGTTGAGTAAGGGTCAGCGTGGTAGATTTGAAATGATTTATTATCCATGCTGTCACAGGCACCAATCTTCGGGGCGGTACTACAGTACTATAGTACAGGGTGACGCAAAAAAATGCAACCCTCCATTTCTTCAATATTTTTCTTAAATGGAGGTTAATTGCTCTGAAATTTGGCACACAAGGACTTCATTCAATGTGGAATCCTCGGGCAAAGTTTCAATAATCATAGTCTTATATTGATAGAGTTATGGTCATTCCAAAATATGCTCCATATGTCGTCCATTTCCAATGTTAGGTTTTCGTATGAATCACATTACCTTCTTTCTGAACATGTAAACTCAAGAAATAATGTGTTCTGGGATCACAAATTCCAGATGAAGTGCTTCAAAAGCCCCTTCATTCTGTTAAATGCACAGCTTGGGCTGCCAATTTCCAAACATGAAATCATCAGCCCCTTTTGGTTTGAGATTGATAATGGCAACACTGTTACCGTTAACACACAGCGCAATATTGGCGTTCCCAGGAAATTCTAGGCAGTTCTAGAGTGACATAGAGGCTTCAATAGACAAGAACAGTGGTTCTAGAAGGATGGAGCTACTCCTCACAATTCTAATGATAGCATAGCCTGGCTCACTAGTGATTTCTATGAGAAGATTATCTCTCCTAGGATGGAGAACCCATGGTCATCCCACAGTCTTGATCTCAATGCCCCTGACTTCAATATATCGGGTTATTTAAAGAATAATGTGTATGAAAATAACCCTACCGCAATTGCAGAACTCCAACAAGCAATGGCTGCAAAATTTGAGCCATACCCATGTGGAATAATGCATCCGTGTTATGAACAGTTTTCCTTGAACACTGCAAGTTTGTTTTCAGTGAAATTGACAACATCTGGAGTATATTTTGAAACAACCATAACTCTATCAATATAAGGCTATGATTATTAAAACTTTGCCAGAGGATCACACATTGAATGAAGTCCTTGTGTGCCAAAATCTCAGAGCAATTTACCTCCATTTAAGAAAAACATTGAAGAAATGGAGGGTTGCATTTTTTTGGGGTCACCCTGTACTTTTGAGGCAACCCAGGAATGGAATGTTAAAGATCATTGTGACCCAGAATGCTTTTTACAATTACACAAATTATTTTGTCTTGATACAAAAAGCATATTAAAATATACAGTTAAATCTAGTTACTTAAAAGCTAAACATTTTATTAATTTGATTTAATACATTATGTATATGATATCTGTGATTTTAAAAGATATAATTTATATCAACAACAAAAATTGGTGAGTTGATAAAAATGATCAACAAAACATATTTGATATTGAATTTATCTTATAAAGGGGATAAACAACTGGGGTACAAGCATCTGCCTAATAGCCTACTAATGGTTGAGCTGTTTCATAGAATATAAGAGAGAGGGATACCATTGTAACTGATGCTTGATAGATTGTGAATTTATTGATTTATTAACATATTGTCTATTCTGTCATTATAGTAATTTAAAAAAGGATTACTAATAGACATGTGTACTAAATCAACATTCCTAATTAAAGAAAAATTCAATCACTTTTGTTTCATGTATCAGTTTTTACCATCTGTCATATGATCCAATATATTTAGCATGCAATTCTACAGTATGGCTACAGCAAGGACATTGCATGTTAAAGATTAGGATAACAAAATCTTGGAAAAATTACAAATATTCTAAACCCTAAAAAACATCTGCTGTAATAGATATTGCCTGAGAAAAATCATTATATCAAAATTAAAATCCTCCCATTGTCAAAACCACAATATATCCTGAATATTCATAATTACCTTAAAAAATATACAAAATGTATTTGTAATATTATAGCATGTCACATATTTTTTATATTTAATGAGGCTCAAATTCAGACTTGAGACAGGACCATATTGATCCAAACTTTCTTCTTCTTGATTAAATGGCACATGACAATCAATATTCATTAAGAAAACAATAGGTGATTAGTATCTAATTAAGTAAGTGGCTAAGTATCTAATTAGTCCTATATGACAGGTTGATGGTCTCATATAAGTTATACATAACATCACTTGCTTGTACCTTTAAATTTAAAATAGAACATTACAGAATGGAATCTGCAAGAAAAAGGTTAACAGGCACAAGTCAATACTCAAAAATCTGAGAAGCATTAGTGAAATCATATATGGTTTCAAACAAAGGGTGTATATCTCAGGTACTAGCATGCCTTGCAGGTACCATAAATCAACATGTAAATTAATGTTTGTTAACATGGTGAAAACTTTAATTAGGAAGACAATGATAGAGACATATCAACAGGTATGACGAGATGAGGAGAACATTTAATAGAAAACAA